GTTTTTGTTTTACATGAGTGTTGTTCCAGGAGGTGGATTTGGTCTCTCTCTCTTCCTACATCTCCTCTGTAGTTCACAGTTATGGCAGATGGGACCAAACTAACAAGACAGGAGTGGAAATCAAACACCAGCGAACGTCCCAGTCTGCTCGTTGTTTTTTCCCAGCTTTTGGTCAAAATTGACAAACGCGATGGAAAAATAACCTTGGAGGGGATGATGGGCAGGTGTGGTTGGGCACATCCTTAGGTCCATGGGGAAGAGCAGGGCAATGGGGCACGTTGTGCTGTAAGGTCAGCAGCTGCAGAGCAAACCCAGTCGACTGAGACCCATTAGTGATGAATCAGTGTCCTTCTCTCTGGAAGCGGTCGTGCAGCACAGCGTCACTCCCAGGGTGACAGAGGGGTTTGTTAAAGAAAGGGATGAATTAGGGCCGTGGCATATTTGGGACAAAAATCCCAGTTCAGGCAGGGCTAAAGCATGGCTACAGCTTTGAAATGTAACTCCTTGATGACCTTCCCAGAAGCAAAGGCACCCTATGTTCCGAGGAGACACCTGGTTATCTGTCAGCCTTGCTATGGCAGCTCACGGCTTCACGTGTGCCAGCCTCACGTGCAGACATCATGGGGGGGTGATCTCTCTGACACAGCCAGAGAGTGGCTCCAGGGCGATCACCAGTGCCTTTTCCTTGAGCCTTTATGTTCTCCTGTATCTATGAGTCTTTTGGAAATTTTGTCCCAGGACCGGAGCAGGTTCCTAATATATAAAGTGAGGTTTACGTTTGCTGGTATGGAAAAGCTGGATTGTCTTGGAAAGGTGAAATGACCTACAGAATGAGCTGGTTTTCCTACCTGAGATGGGAGGCAGGGAAAAAAAAAAGCAAATAAAATATGGATAGTCAGTGATGGATGTGGGTTTTTTTAACAAGCCCATAAAAACATGAATATTACACCATGAGTGATGTGTCACTAAAACCTTGGAAGTATAAACGAGTTAAATATCAGGATAAGCATTTTGACATCTGAATTGATAGTAATCAAGGCCTGAGGTGACTCATGGTGGGAAAGTCTCCTGAGTCCCTTCAGACATTGGAGACCCTTGCACAAGAGTGCAAGACTTGCTTTAGCTGAATTTGAGCCCTTTAAAGGATTTGTGAGGTTTAGACATGGAGCAAAAGCCTTAGCTAATGGGGAACTTAAATAAAAACACAGTCAGGTTCCAGATGGAAAATAAGCCAGGTTTAAATGTTAACAAGGAAATACAAGTCCAAGTCAAAATCCGTGCTCTGCTGTACGAAATGAGTCTGTGGAGACTGGCATTATGGCAGAGTTGATTTGACTTATTGGAGATGCCTATTAGGGCAAAACACTTCCAAATGGAGAGGAAAATTGTTTTGCTGGGTGGTTTTTTTCATCAAAATGCTGAGGTGAGGTTTTAAGGAGAGCTCTTTTCTTTGTGTGCCACGATGCCAGGGCCCAGTGGGGAGGTGAGTACATGGAAATGGGTCCATGTCAGCACTGGGCTCCTGGGCCATGGTTTTAATGTTGCACCAGCTCAGGTGCAGAATTGGGCTGTGACAGAGCTGTTGCCTCCCAAAATTGGGAGATGCAGTGGTGTTGCCTCCAGAAGGATTGGGTTTGCTTTGGGTGGGACGGCTGTCCCTCGGGAAATGAGGTTGTTTGGGATAATCAATATTGAAGCAGGTATAAATCCATGCACCTCCAGCACCTTCAATCTGGTCGTTTGTCCTCTCCTCAAATCACTCCTCCAGAACCTTTCCTTCCCTGTCCCTCCCCTCGCAGATGGTTTGGGAGGGGAGCAGCCACAGCTGTTATGTTGAAAGCATCAGCTGGGGCCTTTGGAGGCTGCTGCTCCTGTAGATATGAAGGACCTGGGCCACGTTTGATTCCAGGTGAACGCAGCACAGCCTAATTAGTGGTCTCCTACTGTTATTAACCTCTGACTCAGGCAGGCTATTTTTTAACAGAGGTGCAAGAAGTTAATACTCGTGCTAATGGCTTCCTATCCAAGGCCTTAATGAAAGCCACAGAGGGACCAGGCTTTTCATCAATATCCTTCAAACTTTGAACTTGAAATTATCCTCTCCCCCTGGTCTTTTTTTTTTTTTTTTTTAATTTTTGGCTTTCTGCCTGCTTTTCCACCTCCTCTGGGACATCCTGGTCCCATGGTACAACCTGGTCAGGAGAGTTGACACCCGCCAGTCCCATGGCAGAGCTGACTCCCTGTGGCATCCAGATAAATGGTCCCAGCTGGCTACATGGGTCACCATGGCATCTCCCACCAGGTGATGAGATGTCTGCTTGGAGAGCAAGATAAAAGTGGAATGCATTGGACTGGGAGAAGAGATAACAGAGAAATGCTGTGTTAGGGAGGAAGCTGGGTCTTGGTCTTGGTCTTGGTCTTGCTGGAACCAAACTCCATGAGAACTTCAGAGGTGCAGGAAAGCATTTATATGTTTAATTTTGTCAAGTACAAATGGAGTAGGATTCGGGCAGCTGACGTGTTGCTAAGGCACTTGAGGAGAGGAGAAGATCCAAGGGTGAAGCCCATTCATCCAGGTGCTGCCTCAAGAGCCCTTGCCCAGGGCGGGAGCAGCGATGGTGGAGCATCCTTGTCCTGCAGTGTGATGAAGAGGTCACAGGCTCCCAGTTTGGGGTGATGGTGGTTGATTTTTGGAGTGTTTTCTTCTGTCTCTAGCACTTCTAACTTGTGTGCAATGTGGCTGCAGGATCATGTTGTGATGTCTGGTGAGAAAAGATAATGTACTCAGGCTCTGTGGCTGGATTCTGCTCTTTTAAAACAAGAATCCATTTTTTACTGGAATACATTTTTCTTTTAAAAAATAAGCCTGTTTAAATAAAATTGAAATTATGACAACCTATTTTAAGGCTTAAATTTACTATAATCTATTAATCATTTAAATAACTTCCATCAAGGATTTCTCCTCAAATATTAATGAGATGGAGGGTGCTGCTTTTACAATGATATGTCAGATCAGGGGAAAAACATCTCTAACTCTAGCTTTCTAAATGTCACAATGTCACATTCTTAGTATCTATTATTTTCACTCTACAATGGAGCAAATGCTGATATTTACATTTTTTCCAAATGTCAGTATGTTGAGTTCCTGTTGTGCATAAAAGCTCTTGCCTTAATTACTCCTAATTTCACATTAGCAGGCAGGTGCAGGGAGAGTGTTTTCTTCCATTTGAGCTGGTTCATTCCAAGTTGAGAAGCCGTGGGGAGTTGGGAAAGCGGGCAAGCTTGTTTCCCCCTTCCAGCCCATGAATAAAGACCAGGTGGGAGAGGAGGAGATGTGCCGTTTCAAACCCTCCCAGCTCCCAGGGCCAGCTTTTCAAAGGGGATGTGTGTCCCTAAACACGCAGCTCAGCAGTTAGAGGGAATTTCAAAAGTGCTTCTGGCTTCCTGGTGACTTTAACTCCTCTTGGTTTTGCTTCCCAGTGGCACCGCGGAGCGCTCAGCATCCCTCTGCTCGGGACACTCCAAGTGCACTGATTACTGCCAGAAATGTGGCTCGTGCTGAGCACAAACAATCTGCCAATTCGCTCACTGTGGCTAATGTTTCCTTTGATTAATCAAATCAGTTTGGGAGGATGAACCTGGTTCCTCTCACAGATTTTTGCCCCCCCCCCCCCCCGCCACCATCCCCGGCAGCCGGCTCACTTAAAGGCAGCCTAATGAAATTAATTAACAGCAAATTTAAAATGTTGCTTTTCGGCACTGTAATTGAATTCCAGTTTTCATTTGAAGGCAGCATGAAACAAGCAAAATAAAGATGTTAATTTGCCCAAAGTGAGCCAGGCTCTTTCCCACTGCCCTCAAAATGCGTGGCTACGAATGGGATGGAGCGGATGGGTCTGGCTAGACTGTCCCCACAGGGCCGAGGCAGGAGGGGGAGTTGTGCCTCTCTGGAAAGCTCATCATGTTTTTTTTTTTGTTGTTCCAACAAAATCTGGTATTTTCAGGAAAATTAGCTAATGGGCAAATGACAGGCTTGAGCTGATGGCTGAGATCAAGGTGGTGTGAGATGGTGATGGAGGTGATCTGACTGGAGGTGGAGGTAATGATTAAAATGGTGCCCATGTCTCCTAGGGATGGGCTGGTGTGACCCTCTCTTTGGCTGAGAGCCAGCCATAGGATGTTCTTGAAATTTTGGAGTCAGCCAGGTGAATTTGGTTTGATTTAGCATTTAGTGCACTGGAGCACATGTGGTGTCCCTGTCCTCAGCTGCTCCTCCTGCTTGGGTATCCTCTGCTGCCATCACTCATCAGCACAGCTCTGTTGATCTGAGCCATTGTCCCTAAACCTTGAAGTTAAAAGCACTTAGGGAAAGTCAGGGTACTTGGGCAGAAGCTACAGGTACCTCTGCAGGTCTTTGGGCTGAGTCCCATGTGGGGAGCTGTAAAACATGATTGAAGACTGAGAACCTCTGAAATCACCTCAATCAAAGTCAGAGCTTCAGGTGTGACTGCAGCTCCGTGCATGGTTCACTGTTCACAAAGGGTGGGAGATATTTTGTCTGCAATATAATTTGTGACGTGGTCCTGGTGATCCCATCAGTGCTGCTGAGAAGTTGTCCTGTATCCTCTGCTCCCAGTGCCTGGAGCTGTGTTGAACATGAGGTGTGTGGGTGAAACCTGCCCAAATTAGAGCTGGAAGGATGCTGCTGGGTTCCCTGCCTCAGGCCCCGAGATGCTGTCAGTGAGTGCTCTCTCCCTGCACCACATCTGGATTTTTGGAGAGGCCTTCATCTGGATTATAACTAGAAATATGATTTCACTCTGCTTTAACCATTTGGGTTGTGGTTTGTGTAGGGGCAGCCCTGGTGCTGACAGGAGGTGACCAGAGGGAGCCTTCTGTATGTAACCCTTGATCTTTCCACCCATTTTTTTGGGAAGAGGGGAATGTCCCCATCAACCCTCTCCTCCGTACTTCCCCCCTGACCAGCTTTGCTTTCGCAGAGATCTCAGGCAACACGGATGACATCCCCCTGGTGCGCTGGCGGCAGCAGTGGCTGGAGAATGGCACGTTGCTCTTCCACATCCACCACCAAGATGGGGCCCCCAACCTGCCCGGCTTCGACCCCACAGAGGAGCCGCAGACCGAGTCGGCAGAGGAGGAGCTGAGGATCCTCCACATCTCCGTCATGGTACGTGGTGGGAAGGCAGCCCCTCCTTAGCTGTCCAGAAACCTGTAGAAAATGTAGTGGCTTTTGAAAAGCCATTTGTATTCCCCATCTGGCTCCAGCTGCCCTAGGATGGGGAACTGAGCCCCCCTTTGGGGGTAGTTGAGATGCCTTGGGCACCTCTCCGAGTGATGCTTTAACACTGAACTTCTTTAAACCTCTCCCTTAGTTTGCATCACTTTGAAAGTATGTTTGCGGGGTGCCTTTATCCCCGGGGGGATGGGGGGTAGTTTCTGTGCTTTGAAGGTCTCAGCCACCCTAACCCAGGGTTAATTCACACTGACTTTGTCAGGAGCCCTTTGCCCGTGGATGGTGCCTGCTGTCCACTGCTCCGACACGCAGCGGGTGTCACGGTGCCACCGGGCACTGTCACTGCCACTTTTGTCAGCGTGGCAGCCCCGTGGCTGTGGTGTCACAGCGTGCAGCCAGAGCATCCCACGTGTCGAGGTTGGACAGCTCTCCTCCTCCCCCCAGATACATGGAGACAAGCTTCTGATGGCAGAGAAAGGAGGGGTCTGCGTGTTGGAAGTGGATCTGTGGTGTGTTGATTGTTTGGGGTTCTTTTCGTTATGCCGGAAAAAATTTGAAGAATCCTACAATTTTTGTGCCACTGGAAGATAATTAGCCAGAGACAATGTGTTGCCGAGGCTGCAAACAGGCTGTTTAATGGTGCCTACCCTAATGAGAGCTTCAATTGCTCTTCCAGATTGCAGCCCCAGGCCGGGTTTCTCCTCCATCATTTGTGCTTGATTAGCCTCGAGGAAAAAAAAATAACTGGCAAAGCCACTCCCAAAAACATCTTACACCATTATCTCTATTTTATTGTCCATTCCCAGCTGCTCCTGAGGGGGTGCATCACCTCTGGAGAGCCTGGCCCCACTCTGCTGCTGTGGTCTTGGTCTTCCTGGGTCCTGCTGGATTCCAAGATCAAGGCAGGAGTAACTGGAACAAGGCTCATTATCAAGATGATGAAAAGGATATCTGCAACTCATTGCTCCCCTACCAAAATGTGCAAATACAGATTGAGTCCTCCCTCTGCCCCTTTTTTCCCATCACTCTCAGCTCCGCTCCAGCAGCATCCTTTCACTCTGAAAAACAGAGGTTGGATTTTGTGCCAGGAGTCGGGATCACGTGGAGTGTTCAAGGCTGATTTTCTTTCTTTCCTGTGTGGTTGCCAAGAGAAGAGGTGTGAGCAAGGGGCTGTATCCATCGTGACTCTGGTCCTCACATGGACTGTGCAAGGAGCACTCCCACAGCCATCAGGTGCAGGGCTCCTCACAGCCATCGTGTGGGTCAGGGGGAAGACAGAATGGGATCTCTGTGCTCCCATGGAGGGGAACCAGGGGCCTGAGGTGGTGCCCTGGTCCCCTCCAATGTGCAGTGGGTGGAGAACACTTCAGTGCTGGCTTTCATCCTCCTCCCAGGGCCTCTTGAAATCTCCAGAGGCCACAGGCAGCTTTTCGTCAGGGACAGTTTGAGCTCTCAGACTATCAGGGCAAAAGACATCAAATTTCAGTGAAATAACAAGTCTTTTTTGAGAACCCACAGTCACAGTCTGAAGCAAATGGGTGTCCACCAAACTCAAGTCTCCCCTGTTTAGCAGAGGCATATGGCAGAGCTCTCTGGTGTGTGGGGGATTTTATGTGCATAGAGAGAATGAGGAAAAGCCAGGAATGCCCCGGTATTCCTCCCACCAGCTTGTCACCCCATCTGCAGATGGGTCTTTTCCCAGGGTGATGGAGAGCTATGACACAGGAGGCCATCTCCAGTAGGGATGGGGATAGCCCCCACTTATTTACGGATCAGAAGAACTCATAGGGATTGGACATGATATGGAATTAGGCTCTGACTTTACCACTGAAAACCTCTGCGTGAACACAGCCAGGCACTTTTTACAAGGGCATGTAGTGATGGATTTAAACTGAAAAAGAGCAGGTTTAGATTGGATATTATTGGAAATTATTTACAGTGAGGGTGGTGAGGCCCTGGCACAGGTTGCCCAGAGAAGCTGTGGCTGCCCCATCCCTGGAAGTGTTCAAGGCCAGGTTGGATGGGGCTTGGACCAACCTGGGATAGTTGAAGATGTCCCTGCCCACGGCAAGGGCATGGAACAGGGTGACCTTTAAGGTGCCTTCCAATCAAAACTATTCTAGGGTTCTTGGATTCTATGGTTCAGTGCCAGTTTTCAGCCCCAGCAAGAGATTTCCCCACTTCCTGGCTGCAGACTCCTAGCCAGAGAGAGTGTGCCAGCCAGCCCCACCATTGCAGATCCTTAATCAATGGAGTTTGTTCTTTCTTTTTTTTTTTTTTTGTTTTTTTTTGTTTTAAAGTAAGTTTGGAAGGAGGCTCAGAGGGTACATCACAGCTCCATTATCCTGGAAATGAAAGAGAGTTAAACTGTAATGGCCATTAAACTTCCTTTTCCAGCTGCCTCTCCTTCTCATTCAGTAATTCCCTTAATGTTTTATCCTAATGGAGCAGATTATTACTATTATTTTATTTTATCAAGATCACCTGTTGCATAGAAAAGAGGAGGGAGGCTGGAGCCATGGATGGACACAGAGCTCTTAGCTGGCTCCACATGCTTTTTATTGTTATTATTGTTATTATTCTTGGCAGATTGTGCATAAAGGGCCGGTTTTGGGCTTTCATCTCACCGCCTCCATCTGTGTACAGTGACGGTGTGTCACAGGAGGGTGGCCTTGGGGACAGTGGTGACATGGCAGGGCTAAGTGCAGTTTTGGGGTCTGTCCCTGTGGAGAAGGAGCTTTTTCAGCCTCTTCCTCCCAAGACATTCCCCAAACAACACTTCAATCATCTGTCTCTCTTGAGCCGTGATCTCCTTTAATCTGTGCTGCAATTTCTTCGGGATGCCCTGGGAAAATCTCCTAAGATTGAGAGTGACAGCACTGAAACCAGTTGGAAATGGGTCAGAAAAAGTTGCCCGTAGGAGCATTTGCCTGGAATAAATCTGATCTCTCTTTTCAAAGGCGTGTTGCGGGAGAGCAAAACAAAACACTCTTTGCTTTAAATGCTGCTTTTTCATGCCTCGGTGGTGACTTCAAAGCTGGTCCAGCCCGAGGCAGGATTCAGCTGGAAGTGCTTGGCCAGCACCGGGTGCTCCTGGTGCCAGCACTTCCTTATCGGCGTGACCAGGCTCCTCTCGCCAGTGCCTTTGCTTTGGCCACCCCGGGGTGTCTGTGTCCCCAGGGATGGCTGGTGCTGGCCCCCGGCTCAGCCCTGCCCGTGTTTGCACCCGCAGGGAGGGATGATCGCCCTGCTGCTCTCCATCCTCTGCCTGGTGATGATCCTCTACACCCGCCGGCGGTGGTGCAAGCGGCGCCGGGTGCCGCAGCCGCAGAAGAGCGCGAGCGCCGAGGCGGCCAACGAGATCCACTATATCCCATCGGTGCTGATCGGGGGCCACGGGCGGGAGAGCCTGCGCAACGCCCGCGTGCAGGGCCACAACTCCAGCGGGACGCTCAGCATCCGAGAGACCCCCATCCTGGACGGCTACGAGTACGACATCACCGACCTGCGGCACCACCTGCAGCGCGAGTGCATGAACGGCGGGGAGGACTTCGCCAGCCAGGTCACCCGCACGCTGGACTCGCTGCAGGGCTGCAACGAGAAGGCCAGCATGGACCTCACGCCAGGTGGGCACGGGCTGAGCTGGGTCCCTTCCAGCCCGTCTTCTCTCTGTTGTTCCATGCACGTGCTTTCCGTCGAGCGTTTTTCCCTGTTTCTCTGGGTTTTCGTTGGGTGTGAGATGTTGGTGCCCCTCAGAAGGCAATTCCACTGCTGGGAGGCCTTGCAGCCCGCTGAGAGCAGTCCCTGCTGAGCTGGAGCTTTGAGGGAAAGGACTGTGGTTCCTGTGGCTTGATGAAGAACCAGAACCAGAACACTGTGCCTTATGAGCTCCCCATAGTGACCCCCTAAAATCCCTTCTGTATCCCAGGATTTCCACTGTCTTTTTCAGCTTAGGTTTTTAGTAGCAAAATTATACATGCCATCAGTATGATTCAGAGTGAATGCCACCTTCTGAGCACCAGCAGGGATTCTTTGAGGCTTGTTACACACTTGTTCTTTGGCCATATTACTAACTGGGCCATCCATCTGGAGCCTTCTCAGCTGAGACATGGTTTGGGAAGACCACAGTGTGGTGCTTAAAGCTTTGCAGGGTTTTTCTTCACAGATTTGGTTATGAAGAAGTGCCCTGAGAGGCTCAGCTTTTGGCTAGTTTGGTGAGGTGCCAGTCCCCTTCAGTATTTGAGTTGCTCCTGAGGGTGCATTGGGGGCAGCTCAGCTCATTGGCAGCAGCACCCTGATCACCTCAGGATGATCTGGAGATGGACCCAAGGAAACCTTTCTCTCACCTCCCTCCCTGTTTTAAAATCTTTATCCTGAGAGATTTTGCCTTCAATTCTTCCTGTTCAGGGAGTGATAATGCCAAGCTGTCCCTGATGAACAAGTACAAGGACAACATCATTGCCACCAGCCCCGTGGACTCGAACCACCAGCAGGCCACGCTGCTGTCCCACACCTCCAGCAGCCAGCGCAAGCGCATCAACAACAAAGCGCGAGGTAGGGGGGTCCCCGGGGTGGGTGGGGTGCTTTGGGCTTCCACCCACCCACATTCCAACAACTCACCCTCTCCTGGGATGGATAAATAGGATCAGCGTCGGGCGAGAGCATGGAAAGGAGGGTTTGGGTGGGGAGACACAGCAAATGTGGTGCCTGCAAGGGTGGAAGTTCTGTTGGGCTGGTTGGTTGCAAAGATGCAGAGGGTGTCTGCCATGGTAAATATTTCAGGGTACTGGCACAGCCACGGGGAAAAGTTGGAAGGTAATGGGGCATGTGGCAGGTGGGGGCATGGGTGTGTGAGGTGGGAAGGGGAGAAGATGCTGTCACTGCTGCACCTGGCAGATGGGGCTCCTCAGTGTAAGGCTTTCCCTGAAGGGTTATGTAGGATGCCAAGGCTTGGGGTGGCACGGTGCCAACCCCTCCATGACTACACTCAGTGTCCCCTGCAGCTGGCTCAGCATTTCTCAACCCCGAGGGGGACTCAGGGACAGAGGCGGACACCGATCCCCAGCTGACCTTCTACACAGACCCCTCGCGGAGCCGGAGGCGCAGCCGAGGTGGGTGGGGAGCCATGACCTCTTTTGCCATATTTGCTGTTGCTTCTCTGCGTTTGGAGACTTTCCACTGGCAAGAAATGGAAACCCAGGTGCAATCCCAGCTGCCGCAGGCAGGCGCCGGTCCCCGCTCTGCAGCGGGCTGCTGCTGCTCTCCGGTGGAGCTTCTCAGCAGAGGATGAAATATATTCTGATGTTTTGCTGGAGGCTTCTGCCGGGCACTGGTGTATTTTAATAAGTAACACGCTTCAGAGGCCGGCCCGTGCGTTCCCAGGCAGCTGCTCAGCACGGAGCTGCCGCGGGTTCGCTCCGGCACCGTGCACACACGAGCTGTATGTGCAGCAGAGCATGGGGACAGCCTCAGTCCCTAGGCAGGAGTCTTGCCCCACTGCCCTGCACTGTCCCTTCAGGAGGTTTTCTCCTCCCAAGAGGAGAGTTAGTGTCTGTTTTCCCCCGTCGAGCCTCGTTTGCTGGATGATGCCTTGTTTTCCTGGGAGCGGTGGGACTGGGATCCATCTCCTTTAGCTGGTGCTGAGAGGCTCGTTCAGGCTTTGTCTCCATACAGTTTTTTTCCACTCATCTTCCTCAGCTGAGAGTTTAAAAGTCAAAGACCTGCATGCCCTGAGCAGTTAGGGCTCTCTAGTACTTTTACAAAAGCATCCACGGGCCTGTTGTCATGACAAAATTAACTCGAGTGAAGTGCCAAGAAGGAGGGGAAAAAGCCAGGACACTGCATTTACCTTTCTTTTACTCAATATCTCAGCTCTGCTTTAAAGCTCTGCTGCTGCAAAGTTCTCAGCCTGCTGCAGTGCAGGGTGTGGGAGAGCTCGGGCTGAGGGGGATCAGGAAGACCCCAGCTGCAGCAGGCGGGAGGGAGGGTCCCATTGCAAAGGCTGCTCCATGCTCTTCAAAATCCAAAGTGGCTCCATTTGGTTGGATTGATGCTGGATTTTCAGGGGGCTGGGCAGGATCTCTGCACCCTGAGGTCCCCTGGCTGCACCCCAAAGCCTTCCTGGGTCCTGCAGGTGTCAGGTTTGACTGTGCTTCCATGTTTTGCAGTGGGGTCCCCCCGGAGCCCTGTGAACAAGACCACCCTGACCCTCATCAGTGTGACGAGCTGTGTCATCAGCCTGGTGTGCTCTTCCCACATGAACTGCCCCCTTGTTGTCAAGATCACCCTCCATGTCCCTGAGCACCTCATCGCTGATGGTGAGCATCCCACAGTCTCACCAACCCCTTCCTGCCCCATTCTGTGAGGTGTGATGGAGGAGAGGTGGGAATGTGGAGAGGATGGGTGCAGGATGGGTGCAGGGCAGAGGGGATGGGCTGGATGAAGAGCACCAGTGTGGGAGAGAGGGGATGGGCATGGGATTGAGGGGATGGGCGCAGGGCAGAGGGGATGGGTAGAGGACAGAGGTGGCTGTTATGAGATGGAGGGGATGGGTCCTTGACAAAGGGGACAGGTGTGAGATGGAGGATACCAGTGTGGGAACAAGGGATGGAGGGGCACAGGATGGAGGGGATAGGCATGGGACAGAAGAGACAGACACAGGATGGAGATGGCTGTTGTGGGACACAGGGCATGGTGCAGAATGGAGAGGATGGGCCTGGGACCAAGCAGACTGTTGTGGGATGGAGGAATCAGAAATGGAACTGAGGGGATGGTTATAGGATAGGAGTGGCTGTTGTGAGACAGAGGGGACAGGCACAGGATGAAGGGAACTGTCATGGGATGGAGGAGACAGATATGGGATGGAAGGGACTGTCATGGGGCAGAGAGGATGGGCACAGGACAGAGGATCCATTGTGGAACAGAGATGGCTGTTGTGGGACAGAGGGTACTGTGTCAAGATGGAGGGAATGGGCAGCAGATGCAGGGATCGATCACAGGATGGGGGGAAACATCATGGGATGGAGGGGTCCATTAAGGGATGCAGGGGACAACCATGGGATGGAGGGGACAGCATCAAGTTGCCCTGCTGACTGCCCTTGTCTCGGTGCCAGGGAGCCGGTTCATCCTGCTGGAGGGGAGCCAGCTGGATGCCAGCGACTGGCTGAACCCAGCCCAGGTCGTCCTCTTCTCCCAGCAAAACTCCAGCGGGCCCTGGGCCCTGGACCTCTGCGCCCGGCGCCTCCTCGACCCCTGCGAGCACCAGTGTGACCCCGAGACTGGTAGGTGATCCAGTGGTTGAGGTGGGTTTGGGGGCTCACCTCTGCCTCCCCAGCCCAGCTCTGACGGGAAGATGCTTCCTTGCCTTGCTCCCTGGGCAATAACGGAGCTGCCAGGTGCCCTGGGGTCGCTGCAGGCTGCTCTTGGCGGGGAAGCACATGGAAAGCCTTGTCCTCCCATGTCCCTCATGTCCCCTCCTTTCTCTGTAGGTGAGTGTCTCTGCTATGAAGGATACATGAAGGACCCTGTGCACAAGCACCTCTGCATCCGGAATGAGTGGGGAACGAACCAGGGGTGAGTGTGCCTTCCACAGCACGCCTGGGCTTGGGCTGCCCTCACACAAGCTGCTGGGCTTCAGCATCAGCACAGGAGGGCTGTGGTAAACTTCTTGGATGAAAGAGTTACAGGCATCTTGGTGAATTGTAAGGTCAGTGCACGGCTGGGCTCTGCAGCAGGTCTGCGGGAGGTGAGGATTTCTATCCTTTGAAATAATCAGAAACGATGTAGAAGAGGCCATTGTGGCAGTTTACAGTAAACACCCCCTGGAGAAGATGGAGATTGTTCCTCCTCCCTGTGTGAAGACTCTCCTTGGCATCCTGCACTTTGTGGGGCTTTTGGTTTGGCTGTGTGAGGCATCAGAGGACAGCTGAGGTCGGGCTGGGGTCCTCACTGAAAATTGGGCAGATTAGATGCTTTGATACCATAGCTGAGGGAACAGAGCAGTCGCTGTCTGCTCCACAGCTTTAAACCCCTGGAAGTGCCAAGGGAAGTTTTTCTGATGCTTTGGCAGCAATTTGATGGTCCTTAACACTCATGGGTCTCTGACATGCAGCTGGGGCCTCCCGGGGATGGCTGGAGGTGGTGTGCAGAAACCCAAAACACCCTCAAATCCAGAGATCCCATGTCCCCCGGCACCTCCAAGCCCTCGTTTTCCCCCCTTGTCTCACTGTGCTGCAGCTGGATCGGCGGTGGCCCTGCCCACGTCAGGATGCCCTCTCTGAAGTTATTAGTCTTCACAGTGGGAAGGGAAAAATCATCAAAGGCTGGGCTTGGCGGCACCCCCGCGGTGCGGCTGCGCTGGAGGATGGCAGCGGCGGGGGGGCTGTCTGTGCCAGCTGGCCCCAGCTCTGTCCCTTTGAACTGGGGCCCGGGGAGAGCATCCCTGCTCTGTCTCCACCCCCACTCTCTGTTTTTTATCATTTTAAAGGCAATTTAGCAATTAAGCCCAGTGTGGAGCACCCGCTGTGTGAGACAAGGGCGGTTGTTGCTGTGAGTGCCCTGAGCCAGGGCGCTGCTCGGGACACAGGCAGTCCCGTGCTGGGGATGTGCTGTGTGCTGTGGTGAATGTCCCCAAACCTCTTCAAGGTACCACTGCTGGGTTGGGAAAATACAGGCAGAAATACAGCTCCCTGTCCTGCTGTATCCCAGTTGTCCAACAGGGATGTTCCCAGATCCTCTGTGCCCATCTCATAAGAGGCACTGAGTGATGGGGTCTGGGAGGGGGTATTCCCCTGCCAGGGATTTCCCTGTTTTAGGATATGTTGTGTTTGGGGGTGTCTCATGGCGGGTTGGAAGGAGCCCGTGGCCACTGATGACCACAATGGCTTTGGTGCCAGCCTCTGCCTCTGTCTGTGCTGGACTCACCACCTTGCAAAAAGCAAAGTGGTAAATGACTCTGTCCATTGAGGCAGGTAATAAAAATGGATAAGCAGTGTGGAGAAACATTTGCTTCCTTCCCCTCTACTTTTCCTTTGCTCCTGGGTGTGGATCTGCAGCTTCACACTGTTCCTCCCATGCACATTGCTCTTCTCTAGCTTTTTCCTGATTTAGCTGCTTCACCATCTTAAGGGAAAGTGGAGAAAAAGCTGCTTTCAGGTGAATTGCTAGAAAATACAGGTGGTAACAAGCAGGAGAGAAGCCAAGGGCAGGAAAGGCAAATCCATTCCTGAACCCCTCTGGACCCATTCACAGCTCCAGACCAGCTTTGGTCTCAGCCATGCCAAACCAAAAGGTGCTCAGGACCCACTCTGTTCCTCTGGGGAATTTGGGGCTGCTTTTCAGACCCAGCTCCAACTCAGTGCCCCCACAGGAGCCTTCTCCATGCTATGCCTGAGCCTTTTCTCCTGCAACAGTGTTCATACCTGGCCAGGATACAGCTTGTCTTGCGTCTCTTCTTATATACCAAAGTTGGCTATGACAAACTATGTGCAGTATTTCCAGCATAGTTTTCTGTTTGGGGCAGAGAAACTTGGCAGATCTCTTTTTCCCCAAGGTGCAACACAACCCCAGACAATGGTGAGGCTGTCAAAGTCCTCCTGCCCTTCTCTGAGCTCTCAAGAAGGCTCTGATGCTGCAGTGTTGGGGCTTTTTCAACACCATCCTTAGAGAGCTCCTCTCTTGAGCTGCTTGAAACCGGAGTTACTTTGTGTTTCTTCCTTGAACTTGTCAGGTTTTTGTTTCAGAAAATGGTAGCAGCTGAGACCACACTTCACCATCCCTGCCTGCAGCTTTCACTATTTTTAGGGGCTGTGGAAAGCATGTCCACACTAAGCATCGTGATGCTTGGGGTAGCTTGGTGTTTAATGAGCGTTCTTTTCCTTCTCTGCAGTCTGTTCTGATGTCCAGGTGCTGCTTGGTGCAGCTCTGCCTGCAAGGGCTTGTGATGCTGAGATCCCTTCTGCCTGTCCATGGTGTCCCCTGTGAACTCTTGGCCTCCACAGGGTCATGACTGTGATGAACTCTCTTTAGTCCAGCAGAACCATCTTGTCAGAGCCTATTTAACTGAATAACTTGTAACTTTAAGCTGGTATTTATGTTTTTTGGGGTGGAGGTTGAGCTGCCATGCTGTCTTTGTCACACTCATCAGCTCATTCCCAACTCTAACCCAACAAGGTTGCCTGCAGGTTCACCTGAAGGAGATGTCTGGAAGTCTTCTGCTCTCTCCCCTCATCCCAAGATGCCTGAATAATTTTTGACACTGTTTTGTCTGATGTGCTCCTAAACCCTCCAATGTTGGAGTGACGTGCTGCTGCCGCAGGTCGGTCCCTGGAGAAGCCACGTTGGCTCTTGGTCAACAAAGCAGGACTCGGAGGCTTTGCCGAATCCCTCGGCGTGCTTGGGAGCAACATGTTCTGGTTATGACCTCCTCTGTTTTCCCAGGGTGGCTTTTTTATCTGAAAACTCATTTCAACCCTGTGGTTTAGACAGTTTTGCCGTTGGTTTGTTTTTATTTACAGTGATGACAAGTCGACTCGGTGTCTGTTCCCTCAGCAGCATCTAATTTTGCTCATGAAGGCGAGCTCATCTTTGTGCTTTATTGGCGATGGCAGGGAGAGGCTTTGTGTGGTGTGTGTATTTTGGGTACCAGACTGAGTTCCACGCCTCCGCGGTGCCTCTCTTACCCAACACATCCAGACCCTAAATCTTCATCCATTTTTCAAAAAATCAGATCTTTTTGATCATGGGTAGCAGATACATTTGATCAGCTGCCTTTCTTTTTTTTTTTTTTTTTTTCCCTGTGCTGCTCTTCAGCTGTTTTAAACAAATCTGTCTGGTGCTGTTTGTGTGTTCACAGTCTGTCTCCCTACTTTGATATGCATTGTTAATTAGCTGCTTTTCGGCTCTTACTCTAATGTTTCCCAAGTAGGATGCAGTTTCCAGCAATCCAGCCAGGTCTGCCTCATCTTTGCTCATCAAACCCATTTTCTGTGGTTCTTTTTGTGGTATGACTTGGCCAAAGATCAAATCAGCTCATTCTACCTTTAGTTAATAAACTGTTACCTGCCCACATTTGTACTTATTTATCTCAGCCCTTAGATCCATCATGGATGGTTTCCCCTCTCCACCTGCAGTTCTTGCCTGGGTGCCCTTTTCAGACTCCCTCGATGAGATTTAAGATGCTCTGCATTTAAAGGGTCTTTATCAGTGTGCTCTTTCAACTCCTAATGGGTTCAGCCTGGCATGGGGAGGTTTTAGGCCAGTTTAATGTTATATGGCAAATACATCTGGCTGGGTGCTCTCATCCTCTTGTAGAACTTGGCAAACTGGGCTACACCAGCCCTACTCCCATGCAGGACAAGTTACCTCTTTCTGCCCCCTTGCAGATGTTTTTTCCAGCACAGGGCACAAATTAGTGCAGAAGCCCATGTCCTGCTCACCCACCTCCCCTCCCCTGCTCCTCCCTCCCCATGATGCCTCTTCTCTTCTGCACACAGTTATCCCCCTTCCTGCCCATACACCCGCTCATCTTGTCCCATCCCCACACATCATCCACTCCCCACCCCACAGAGGAGCCAGGGACACACTGAAGTGACAAGGGCAGCACTTTTCCTGCTTAAAGTCTTCTTCTTTTTCTCTTTTTTTTTCCCCCACCCCTTTTTTTCTCTCTCTCTCTTTTTTTTTTTTTTTTTTTGCCTCTCTCCGTTCCCCGCTGTGTGCCTCGGCTTTGCAAGCTTGAAGGACAGCCAGATAAAAAGCTCCTCTTTCTTTCAGATCCTTTCACCAAACCACCCATCCGCCTCCTCCTCCCGCCTCATTCTCCTCGCAGATTTATGGGCAGCCCAGGGAGAAAGTGCCGGCATTAGCATTTTTAATAAAGCCCTGCTTGCAAGGGATGGCAGGGGGTGGGGAGCTCGGAAGGGGAGAAGCATCAGCAGCTGAAGCCCAAGCAAAGCTGTTGCAGAGCAAAGTGAAGTTGGGGAGGAGCCACAACAGGCATCACCGGTGGGAGAAGTGGGCAGCTCAGTGCTTGTGTCACATCTGCTCTCTGCTCTTCCCCCACCAGGGTGGTGTTGGGTCTTCAAGGGTCCCCCCTTTGGGGTCTGGCGTGCAGGAGGGGTGCAGCAGTTGTGGGGGTGCTCTGGTCTGTTCTCCCTGGGCTTGAACTCCTGAGCTGCCAGTGAAGGGATGTGGGGACCGTTTTGTGCACGGCACTCCCTCCCAGCACACACTTGGAGCTGGTGCTTAGGTGCCATGATGGGGTTTGGCATGGCCCTGGTTGGAAACCCCCAGGAGTACAGAGGGTCAGGGAGCCAAATGTGTAGTCACCTATTTCAGTGTGTGACAGCCAACCACCTTCTCCTCCAGTGGCATTTCAGCCACGCTCTCGTGCAGCGACTTGTGCCTTCTGCAAAGACCCTCTCCTGCAGCCCCTCCGACCTCCTGACAGCTCCCCTCAAACCAGCTGCTCCAGGTTAGCTCATGGCAGTCACATCCTGCCAGTGCCAGGCTTTAATTCTCCATCCCACTCATCTTCTCTGGAAGGATTTTGCAGGGAGCACAAACAAGCAGGAGCACAGTTCTCGATGCTAGAAGTCAGTCTGGCCTCAGCCCCTTGGGACTGCAATTTAAGTGTTGCCAGGGGCCTGTTGAGGTGGTTCAAAGCATCACCAGCAGCAACAGGTTTGGAAGGCTTAGCCAGAATTTCTTGAGCTTCCACTCAAGCCCAGATGTGGAGCAAAGCATAGCTGAGGGTCCATCTGGAAAAGGCCAAGAGGCCTGAAAATTGTCTTGGGGATGCTGTGGCAGCACTTGGGCCATGGGAACTTGCTGACTGAGCATGGGGAGTTCCTGGTTCTCAGCTGCCTTGGGTTTTGTTGTTTCAGGTGCTTGCCTGAATGCCAAGGCTTGCCAGGGGGACGAGAGCTGTTGTTTCTGGCCCATTTAATCCAGCCTGATCATCTACAGGGCTGCTGATCAGTCTCACTTTCCCCTGTGAGCTCTGAAGACCACACAACCAAAATACCCACCAAGAACAACGAAAACCAAGCAAGTGATCACAGAAAGCAGGGAGGGAGACAGGCACGTGGGGACACACTCACGTGCATGGGAGAGGAAGGAGGAGGTGAAACAGCAGCAGAGGCACAGGGGGCAAGAGGCGGAAATGGAGGGGGTGAGGTGTGCCTGGGAGAGCAGATGCCACCCCATCCTCTGCAACAGAAGGTACAAGTCAACAAGAGCGTGTGGGTGGAAATGTCAGCACTGAGCTCCTGGAGAGCTTCCTCAGAGATGAGGATGGATGAGTGTCTCCTGTTGAGCTGGAATTCTTGTGTGGAGGACCTTTCAGGGCTTACCCACAGAAGGTATCATGTCCTCCCAGATCCAATGGTGCCTGGCAACACTGGGTTTCCCGTGCCAGGTAGACATGTAGCTAAAGGCTGAACATTATTTTTAATGGGCTTTTTTTGACCCCAGGTAAAGGTGGAGTGGGGCAGGCTAGGGAGATGCCACACAGTCCCTTTCTGGAGCATGGAAACCTTTTCCCCATCTCAAAGCCATCACTGCATTTTGCAAGGGTAGGTAGGAATAGGACAAGAGGGAATGGGTTCAAACTGACAGAGGGCAGGTTTGATTACACATCAGGAAAAAATTCTTTCCTGTGAAGGTGGTGAGGCCCTGGCACAGGTTGCCCAGAGAAGCTGTGGTTGCCACATCCCTGGAAGAGTTCAAGTACAGGTTAGATGGGATTTGGAGCAACCTGGGATAGTGGAAGGTGTCCCTGCCCATGGCAGGGGGCTGCAATGAGATGATCTTTAAGATCCCTTCCAAACCATTCTATGATTCCATGACCTCAAGAATTTTAGCCACAGTTGGAAGTTGCACCCTGGGTGGACACAGCATGGCTGCTGATTTTGATCTCCCAGGTGGGTCCAGACACACTGGCTGCATGTCCTGGGTGTGTTGACTTCCATGGGCCGCCAGATGTGTCACCTGACAGAGGTCCAGCAACCACCATGTCCCTGCAGCACCCGTCCCACTGCTGAGCCCTGCTGCAAGCCAAGAGCAGCTCCTCACGACTGCTTTTCTGCCCGAGTTGATGCGGAACAATACCTTGCCTTGGCTTTTGTTCCCGGCCCCACGTGCTCCTCAGAAGCAAGAATAAAACCCATCTGCGGGAGCGCTGGAAGGCGGAGGCGTGAAGCATTCAAGGTGTTGCTGAAGACACAAGGAGCACATCTCTTCCTGGACGAGGCTGACCTCATTCAGGGCAATCGGATCTGCGGGCTGAATGTAATCCCCCGCTCCCAGCCGACCGGACGGGAAAGCGGCATTGTATCCCAGCGAGGAAATGAGACGGCACGCTGTAATCCTGCAATCAGGATTTTTTTCTTCTGTTATTATTATTTTTGTCCCTGCTGAAGTAACCTCAGATTAAAAATTAAAGTGCTTGTGCAGGAAAGCTGTAATTGCCTCTGGAGAAAACCCCCGGGCTCGTCGGTGGCACCTGATACTCTCACCCTGAATTTTACCAGCAGCGATGTGATGGGGTGGCAAATCTCTTTCTCTCCCCAGCTCTGAGCTCTTGCAAAGGGGATTTGGAGTTTTAGGGTTTGGGAGCTGGGTTCATGTTGCCTGATTCAAAGTCCACCACAGCTGAGTCTCTTGTCAGCCTTGGTCTGCAAGTGGGTCTGTGATGCTGGGGGTGCATGTCCCAGAAGTGTCATGGCCATGGTTGTCCCACTGAAGGGCACTGGCCACCAAATCTTGGTGGCTCATCACCCTGTGTATCTACAACAACAGGGAGGGAGTAGTTGGGGCCAACAGCTCTCTAGGCTGCCCTCTTGGCTCCAAGCTTTCAGCCTGTCTTCCAATCCCCTTTGTTAGGCGTCCTCAGTTCCTCTCCTGGAACAATGAAACCCAGGGGGAATAAGGCAGGTGGTGAAATTGTGGACTCGGACCTGACGTGCTCCCTTGGAAAAGCCTCACAGAGAGAGGGTTCAGCTGCAGCTGGGTTTCTTTTAGCAATTCAATAGCTGTGATGCAAACCCCTAAAACAGGACCAGGCACACAGGGATGCGGGGGTGTCTGGAGTGCACTGTACTCCAGAATTATGGATGCGATACACTTCTGCACCATTGGCAGGTTGGGGCTGGCGTGAGGATCTGATGTTATAGGGACCCCAAGATTAAGATCTTGAATCAGAGGCTGTTTTATCCCATTGTCCTGGCTTTGTTTGAGTTGTTTTATGCCAGGACCCCTCTGCGTGTGTGCTGGGGGCTATGCAGGGAAAGCATTTTGGGCTCTGAGCAGCAGTGGGGGCACAATATCAGTGTGATGCTCCTGCGTTTCTTTTCCAGGCCTTGGCCATACACCATTTTCCAGCGTGGCTTTGACTTGGTGCTGGGCGAGCAGCCATCTGACAAGATTTTTCGGTAAGTGGCAAAGGCAACTCAGGCCCCAACATTTTGGGGCTTAAAATATGACCCAGGGCATACAGGTGTGCAGGTAGCCCAGCTGGCAGGGCTGAGCACAGCTGTCCTGTGCCACCTCCTGGGGACATGTGAGTATGGCTGGGAAGTGTGAGATGCTGGATGCCCAGCAGTCAGTTCCTCCTCTCTATTCACAGTGAGAGCGAGGTTTAGGCTCTGCAGGAGGATTTCTACGGAAAAATGAAAGTGCTTTTATTTTTTTATCTATTACCTAAGTTGCATGTGATTTTTGGTGGTCGTTTGGGTGCATTTGGAGAAGCCACCCCTCTTTAGCCTGCCCATCCACTTTTGTTCAGGCTGGCATCCCTGCAGGGCAGTGGGGAGGTTCAAGGGCTTGGTTTTGGGCAGAGACAGCCCTCCAGGCTCAGCATTTCCCTCCTTGCCAGCCTTTGCTGCTCTCCCTGGCAGGTTCACCTATACCCTGGGGGAAGGCATGTGGCTGCCCCTGAGCAAGAGCTTCGTCATCCCACCAGCTGAGCTGGCCATCAACCCCTCAGCCAAATGTAAGACGGACATGACAGTGATGGAGGATGCAGTGGAGGTCAGGTAGGTGCAATGGCAGGATGATGGAGTTTAGGAGGAGTTTCAGCAAACAGAGCTGAGATCCCCATCCCACACTTTGCAGGTGGAGATTAGTACATCCATTAAGCTGCCCCCCTTTGGTACCTGTAAAGTGGAGCCATTGGAGGTACCTCTCATCATCTCAGTAGCTCCTGCATCCCTCTAAAAGCCTGGCTGCCATCCAGTTCACTGTCAGCCCGAGGGAAACTTGAGCTCTGGAAAAACCCACGCAGCAGCCACGGTCGTGCACGCGTTCACAACGTCTCATCGGAGCAGTGACACATCTCCTCCTTCTCCTCCTCACAGGGAAGAGCTGATGACCTCCTCCTCCTTTGACAGCCTGGAGGTCCTTCTTGACTCCTTCGGCCCTGTCCGTGACTGCTCCCGGGACAATGGGGGCTGCAGCAAGAACTTCCGCTGCATCTCGGACCGCAAGCTGGACTCGACGGGCTGTGTGGTGCGTGGCCCCCCGGGGACCTGGAATCTCCTTTGGTGTGAGCAAGGAGGGGGAGGGCAGAAAGGGAATCCTTCCTCCCTTACCGTCACTTTGGGACGGATATTTTGGGGTTGATTTTGTGGCAAGAAGGTGTTTTTGGGTTGGCATCTGCTTTGTTACTGCATGCACAAACGAGGGAGAGAGAGTCCATCTGCTTGTTGGCTCTCTGGGAGGTCCCACATCACTCACGTGTGTCCCCTGTCACCACCACAGCTGCTCTGCCCCAAAATGGAGAGGCTTGTGGGGCCGGGGTGCCCTGCTGTGATGCCACCAGTGCTGGGCATTGGGATGGAGAGGCTGTGAGTGCGGGGCAGACAGTGGGCTTGGAAAGGGCAGCGTTGCTTTGGTGGTCACTGGAGCTCTGTGCTGGTGTGTGGGGTTGATACCAGCACATTACTTTGGTGGGGCGTGGCTTGGGGGGCTCCCACTTCGGAGGATGCACTCCCCAGGGCTGCAAAGGGGCTGTGGTGCAGGAGGAATACCTGCAGCTGTGGGTGGTGTTGCTGCTGTCTGCCCCGCAACCCCCGAGCACTGTTTCTGCTGCAGTGTCCAGTGGAGAGCAACTCTCCCCTCTGCCTCAGCCCCAGGGCCAGATTTCTTCCCTGGGGGTTTCACCTCTTGCTTCCCCCACCCCTGCCAGTGCCCGACAGGACTGAGCCCCATGAAGGACGGCACAGGCTGCTACGACCGTCACGTCGGCGTGGACTGCTCCGATGGCTTCAACGGGGGCTGCGAGCAGCTGTGCCTGCAGCAGATGGTCCCTCTGCCTGAAGACCCCCTGCTCTACAACATCCTCATGTTCTGTGGGTGAGTGACCCAGCACCCACAAGGTGCTGCTGTACCTGGCTGCATGCCACCCTGATCTCCTAGGGTTGGCATGGAGGGGGGGTCTCCTCTGTTCCCAGTGTCTCTGCTGGGGTGGCCTGGTGGCCACCGTTGGGGGCTGCAGCTGATGGTGGGCCCTCTGCTGGCTTCCCAGGTGCATTGAGGACTACAAGCTGGGCACGGACGGGCGGTCGTGCCAGCTCATCTCAGAGTCGTGCCCCGAGGCGGGGGACTGTGGGGAGCCCCGCGAGCTGCCCATGAACCAGACGCTCTTTGGGGAGATCTTCTATGGCTACAACAACCACTCCAAGGAGGTGGCACCAGGGCAGGTGCTCAAAGGGACGTTCAGGTGAGCTGGGGAGGTGGGGCGGTGACCCCAGCAGGGTCGGACCTCACCATCCTCTCCAAGAAGAAGGCATGGTGAGGAGCCTGGTCCGTCCATGTCTGGCCAAACTTTGCAGAAAATGGAAGGGCTGGTGGGGAGAGCACATCTGATGCTTTCCATCAAGAGGAGACACCTCTGTAATCTGTGCCTGAAGGAAAGGCTTCATGCCAGGTGTTTTTTTGGGATGGGTCACCGGCTGGCAGGGATGATCCCAGGCATTTCTCCTGTCTCCAACCCTGCCCTCCTCTCTGTGATTAACTTCCAGGCAGAACAACTTTGCCCGGGGCCTGGAGCAGCAGCTGCCAGATGGGCTGGTGGTGGCCACGGTGCCCTTGGAGAACCAGTGCCAAGAGGAGCTCTCTGACCCCACACCTGACCCCGAGTTCCTCACCGGTGAGTGGGTCCAGCCCCATACCTCTCCCAGGTGCCACCATGCCCAGCTAGAGGCCCTAAATCTCCCAGGAGATACATCTCCTAGAGGATATATCTAGTCAGGCTTTAGCATCCCAGGCTCACCTGCAGCAGCAGCAGCAGTGGTAAAACAAAGGCATTAAAAATGAAGGAGAGGCAAAGGCTGTAAATTAACTGTGTGGTGTAAAAGCTCAACCATCCATTGAATATTTGGGGCATTTGCAAAAAGCATTTTTTCTTTTTCAAGGAAAAAAAGTTTTCCAGCTACCTTTAATTTGATTTCTTTGCCCATGTAACAAACATTCAAAGCCTGCTGCCACCAAATTGAAGTGTTTTGGTTTGCTCTGCCAGAGAACTGTGGGCCACGAGCAACAGGGTTATCATGGATTCCTAGACTGCCTTCAAGGATTTACCTTTCTTCCAGCAAGTTGCCAGAACCCCTAAAATAGCCCTTGTTTCCTTGGTGTTTGTTGCTGTTGGCTGAAATGGCTCAGGGCATTGAGGAGCCGCTAAGGAAAGGATATGGTTAATGAGGTGTTTTGGTCTCATACAAGACCTCGTGCTTTTGCTTTGTTTTGCAGAGCTTCCAGGATTTTGGGAAGCACCCATGGGCTGCACCCAGGGTCTAATGGACACTGACAGGGTGCATGGAAATGTAGGTGTGTGTGCAGGCAGATTCAGGAAGAGGGGAGAGTGCCACTGGGTCTTGGGTGCTGAGCTACCCCAAGAGAGCTGTGTGGGTGGGTCACTCCTGCTTCCATGGGGATGCTCATCCCTGTTCGGAGGTGCTGGAGGACACCTGCATCCCAGTGAGATTCTCTTGCCTGTAACATGGGTACACAGATGTAAGGAAGGCACTGCCTCCACAATCCCAGCATCATCAGCAGTGTCAGTGGGAGCAGGACTTTGCTGGCAATTACGCTGGGGAGGCAGAAGCCAGTAAATTATCCTATTCATTTCCCACCGCTCTGCTGGCTGTGTGGCTGATTAAGGCAAAAAAAAAAAAAAAAGAGGAAAAGAGGTAAAATATTCTCTGCTTGTCAGAAGCAGATCTGGATATCACTGTGAATACACGAGAGGCAGAGCTGCTGAGTAAGGAAGGACTGTTTTTGCATAAACACTTTGCAGGAAAGAGCAAGGCTTTGAAGCTGTCGGGAGCAGCCAGCACTGAAGAGAGAGAGGCGCTGGAAGGCAAAGGATCTTATCCTGCTTATCCTCTGCCTTCAGTTCTTGTTAGAGGGGGGGATGCCCGCCGTTATCCTCCTGAACTCCTACTGGGTGCCTGTTTAGCAGCAAAGTTGCTGCTTTGCTGCCAAGCGGAGCTGCGAGGGAGGAGGTGGCTGTGTCCTGGCATCCTCCTGTGCCACACCCAGGTCACCAAAGTCAGAGCCACGAGCACCCTTCAGTTCCCTTTCTGGGCCTCTATCTGAGGCTCAGTGGCCTCTCTGTCCCTCTGCTCATGGAAGCTGAGCTGCCACGTGCCTTGGGCAGGAGTAAGTGACCACCCAGCCCTGGTGTCCATGAATTTCTGCCTTCTGTAACTCAGTGTTAAATGGCTGAAGAATGAGGTGGCTTTACCTGGAGAAGGACAAACCCTGGGTCCTGCTCAGCCCCAGTTTTGCTGTAATGTCCTGGGGGAACCTCAGCATCAGCTCTGCAGATTTCCCCTGTACATCTGTGCCCACCCAGCTCAGTCCCAGCCGAAAGGGACCCAAGGCCCCTTGGCTGTTTGCACTTGGGTACACGTGGCGTGACGGTGACCGTTCCCAGGCCTGCAAACAGCTCATTAAAAAGCGCAGCTCTCATTAGTGAAATAATTAGCACACCTGGGCATGCCTTGGGAGCGGGCACCGGGAAGGAAGCAGGAGGGGATGCAGGAGGAGGCTCGTTATCTGCCGCCGCAGAGCCCCGGACGGCAGGATGAAACGAGCCTACGTGTGTTCCTTCAAAGCCATCATTTTAATTGCTGGGGAGCAGCTGACCCTCAGCTCTGAATACTTCCCTGGGGGGACCGTGGTGTGTGAGCAACCCTTTTCCCTGGCTTCTTCCCACCCTACTGGCTGCATTGCCCCAGGTATGAAGGGGTGCAACCATTCCCAGGGAGAGTCACCCCTGGGCAGTGGCACTGAGCCCCCCATGTCCTTTCTCTGGCAGGGATGGTGAACTTCAGCGAGGTGTCCGGGTACCCTCTCTTGCAGCACTGGAAGGTGCAGTCTGTCATGTACCACGTCCGGCTCAACCAGATGACCATCTCCCAGTGTAAGCATGTGGGGATGGGGGGGAATGGGGGAAAAAGGAGTGGCAAAAGGATACATAGCTTTCTGCTGGCAGGTGATGGGCTCAGGGGTCGGTTGCCCATCACAAGTGTGTAGGGAGGTGATAAGGGCTTGGTGTACTCTGGGATCTGAGCATCTCCTCCATCTCTTCTCCTTCCCAGCCTTCAGCAATGCCCTCCACTCCCTGGATGGGGCCACCTCCCGTGGAGATTTTGTGGCACTGCTGGACCAGTTTGGCAACCACTACATCCAGGAGGCAGTGTATGGCTTTGAGGAGTCCTGCTCCATCTGGTATCCCAACAGGCAGGTCCAGCGGCAGCTCTGGCTGGAGTACGAGGACATCAGCAAAGGTAGGAGCCCTGCTGGTCCCCAGGAAGGATTTGTACAACACCCCATGGGAGTGGAAAGCTCACTTTGCTTTCAGCATAGCAAGGAAAGCACCCAGCCTGTCCCATCTCACCACATTATTTACACCCTGCTCTCTCAGCCTCGGAAACCGGGCAAAGGACTCCCGTGGATTGCAGCGGGCACTGATCTGGGACATAAAGAAAGATCAATACCCACATCCCCAGAGAGATGAAAGACAAGTGCACTAATCCCACCAAGCCATCCTGCCTGATTCTGGACTTAACTGTTGTTTGTCTTTAATCCTGTTCCTTCCTTCCTTTTGTCTCCTCCATATCTGCTCTCTTCCACTTGCATCCCACAGCCTGACTTTTCTCCATTTAACGTGTTCCCTTTTCCTGGGCTGTCAGTGCCGTGCTTTTAATGCCTGGAAACCAGGTAGGAACTGGGAGATTCCTCGTGGTGCAGAGGGCATCTGGCACTGCTGCATCCCCTCCGGTGCCCTCGCTGCAGTGAGCTGTGATGGATCCCCAGTAGAAGAGCTGATGGCTGGTTTGGATGCCAGCTTTACAAAAGCTGAGGCAGCCTAAGGCCTGCCTGCTGCCACCTGTCCCCAGGACCACGGCAACCTGGTCCAGTGGAAGGTGTCCCTGCCCATGGTAGGGAGGTTGGAATGAAATAATCTGCAAGGTCCCTTCCAACTCAAACCATTGTAGGATTCTATGATCTCTTCCATTGCCGCCTGCAGGCGCTATGCTGCCTGTGTGGCGGACATTGTTTTGCAACATCCAGGCTTGGGCAGCAAGCAAGAGCCAGCTCCCAAACCTGGACACAGGGGATTCTGAGCGGAGCTGCTGCTTTTTAGGCGACCTTCGTTTGCTGCCCGTGCACAGGAGCTGTCGGGTGTGGGCAGTGTGAGCTCGGAGCTCACAGGCACAGTGACCGAAACATCGTTTCCATCACAAAGCTTCCTAGTTCTCAGTATTGGCACCAGCCTACAGTGCTGCCCTTGCTGTGCCCCAGCCGCTGAGACATTTGTTTTCTCCCCAGGGCTCTTGTGTGGGAAGGGCTTCTTTCAAAGCCTGAGTCTGGATCCTGCGGGCTCAGACCTCCTGGAGCCTGGACTTCTTTCCAAGCCCACCTGGAAGAGTACAGACCCGTTGCTGTTTTGCTGTGGGCTGTCTCCAGATGTAGCATCTTTTGATTGCAAGTGTTTCTTTTTCTTTTTTTTCTCCTGCAATTTCCTCCTCTTTGATTTTCCTGCTTGGAGGCTTTTCAGGTCTGGCAGTCTTTTTCCACCCACAATATCACATTTCAGTTTCACTCTGGCACCTGCCACTTTCCCTCCTTTGCTTTTTGTTTGCAAACGTCAGGAGCTGGATATCGATTGAGAAATTGCAAGAGACAAATCATTCCCTGGCTCCTCTGCTTTCCCTGAGTGCCTGCTAAGCTGCAATCCACAGCCAACCCAAAGTGATCCATCCCCAGCTTGCTGGGGGAGCAGAGCAACGCTTTTGTATCCTGGTTTTGTTTAAAAGCCTTGTTTCCTTTGCAGGAGTCTCAAAGATGGGCTAGTGCTGGCCCATTTATCTGCAAATCCTATTTTCCTATTGAGCCACGGATGTGCTCCATGGTGGCTCCCCACAGCAGCCAGCCTGTACCAAACCACCACCAGCGATGGCCTGAGCCTGCTCCAGGGACAAGGCTTTGCCTGGGCGTCCTTCAGCTTCCCCCACCCCCACCGACCATCCTCGATGGCCCCTCTAGGCCCCTCTTTCTTCTGTGTAAAGCCAGGGATATCCTTTAGCAGGGATTTTGTGTGAAAAGCGCCGTTTCCTAGCATGGCAAGGCTTGCCACGGCAGGACAATGCTCCCCAGGGCACAGCAGTGATGGACGGGTCCTCCCTTCTTGACTTCTGGGCCAACGATTTTCCCCTTGTGCCAAAATATTTCCTACCATGAGAATGCTGGAGAAAAGCCCGCTGAGTGCAGGGTCTGGCTCACTGCCCTGTGTGTTGGGAACACAGTGGCACCCAGTGTCAGGCATCTCTGCATGGAGCTGGGAAAGGCATAAACCATGGCACTGCTTTCCTGCTGCAAGTTTTTTTCCGAGCTGGTTGCATTTCACAGTAACCTGAGGGTTGGCAGCCTCTGCTTCCCATCTCCATTTCCCTGTGTGGGGACCAAGTGTAGAAGTGGAGGGTCTGGAGAGGAGCTTGGTGGGTCTGTAGCCACACTGGGAGCTTTCTGGGCATCATGAGGCACTGGCATGTCTTCCCTCCTCACTCTGAACTCTTCAGTGCTGCCAGCCTTTGCTGGGGGGGGGGGTGTGAATCAAGTCAGCATCGTTACTGTGCACCCTGGTCTGACACTCATCCTCTCTGGCCTCCAACACACCCTGTCACATCAGCTGTGGTGAGGATCCTTGGGATCCAAAGGAGAAATCAGCTGTTGGGCCAGGAGGGCTTTTGCGGGGGAGTGGTTTGGCAGAGGGCTTTGGCGGGGCGTCAGCGTGGGGTGAAGGTGCCCAGGCAGGTCCTTCACAAGTCTCCAGACACATGAAGGAGGCTCCCTCTCGTGGGCACCTGCTGCAAGGGTGGTCTGTCCCACCACCTTCCCAGTGCCAGGTGAAGGGATGGGGCTGGGGGAACTGAGGCACGGGGAGACCAAAAGACCTGTGATGGCAGAGGCCAGGGTGGGCTTTTCAATTCTGATTCCTCCTCTGAAGACCAGTGAGCATTTCATCCCTACAGAGCAAACAGCTCTCAAGGATACAGGGACCTGCAGGCAGTGCTGCCTCTCTGCAGGGTGGAAGGCAGAGCTCTAGCCCCCTCACGTTCCCTTATCAGTGGCTCGGATCCCACGCTGGTGCCTCTCTTTTCCCCCTTCCCCAGGCAACTCGCCCTCGGACGAGTCAGAGGAGCGCGAGCGGGACCCCAAGGTGCTCACCTTCCCCGAGTACATCGCCAGCCTCTCCGAGTCGGGCACCAAGCGCATGGCAGCCGGCGTGCGGATGGAGTGCCAGAGCCGCGGGCGCTGCCCCTCCTCCTGCCCGCTCTGCCACGGCGCCGCCAGCCCCGACGCGCCAGCCGAGCCCATCCTGCTGGAGGTCACCAAAGCAGCCCCCCTCTATGAGCTGGTCACCAACAACCAGACCCAGCGGGTGAGGAGCCCTGTGCTGAGAGTGCTGGGGTGGGCATGGTGGGTGGCAGGACAGCATCGTGGTGGTCTTTGAAGGCGGCTTGCCCTGATAGCACCATGTCAAGCCAAGGGAGCCCTTGCCCATTGGCCTGCCCTGCTCTCAGGGTGAATGGACTGTGCCGAACCCACCGGGGGAATGGATGAATGCTGGCTCAAGTGGGATGGGAGGTCAACAGGTCACCTGCCCAATGCTCTAACCCTCTCCTCTCTATCCCAGCTCCTGCAGGAGGCCACCATGAGCATGCTGTGGTGCTCAGGCAGCGGGGACGTCATTGAGGACTGGTGCCGCTGTGACTCCAGTGCCTTCGGGGCTGACGGGCTGCCCACCTGTGCGCCTCTCCCCCACCCCATGTAGGTCTCCACGTGTGCCCAGTGTGGCCTTTTGGTATGGTGGGTCTGTGAGGAGGTGGTGATGGCCAACAGCATGGTGGCAGGAGGTGGTGGGGCTGGGTGGTTTTATGGGACGGGTTTGCAAACTGATGGTTGACCTGGAAAACAAGCAGAGAGTACAGAGTTGTAGTGTCTTTTCTAAATTCAGCTGAGGACTGGCGAACTGGTTGTGGATCCATCCTGGTAGAGCAACCCTAGGGAAGGAATCCTTTGGACCAGCATTCCCAGAGCCAGGAGGGGTAGGGCAGGGGCAGTCACTTCTCTCCTGAAGTTGCTGTCTCCCATGTGTTAATGGCTTTGAATCCCTTTTGTTGTGAGAGAGTAACACAAAAATTTTCCCCCAGCCTGCACCTCTCCACCGTTCACGAGCCCAGCAGCACACTGGTGGTTCTGGAGTGGGGGCACTCAGAGCCCCCCATCGGGGTGCAGATTGTCGACTACCTCCTCCGTCAGGAGAAAGTCACCGACAGAATGGACCACTCCAAGGTGGAGACAGGTGAGTGGGGACTCCACTGGCACTCTCTGGGGAGAGTGGGATGGAGATGTTGGAGGAGTCTCCCTTTTAGCAAGGGGATGCTGCAACGTATCCACTATCCTGTGGAAGAGACAGCAGCCCCTCCTGCCCACCCTGCTGCAGGATTGGCATCTCCACATCTCCGTGGTGATGAGCCTTGCTGGAAAAGCAATGGGTCCATCTCTACAGCAACCAAGGCATGAGCCTTGGTCCCCCTGGGCACCAGGCAGCGTGTCAGTGGGCACAGACCTCAGTGGCTCTCCACAGTCCCAGGGACACCCGTGTCATTGCCTGTGGCACATCCTCCCCTCTCTCCCTAGAGACAGTGCTGAGCTTCGTGGACGACATCATCTCCGGTGCCAAGTCACCCTGTGCCATGCCAGCCCAAGTGCCTGACAGACTCTCCTCCACCATCTCCCTCATCATTCGCTGCCTGGAGCCCGACACCACCTACATGTGAGTTTCTTCCCCCGTGCCATGCCCATGGCAGTGCTGTCACCCTCACCATGGTGATCCTACCCAATGCTGCCTGTATTTCCACGAGGTCCTGGGAGTCCAGAGCTTCATTTTTTTTTCCTTCCGATACAGGTTCACACTCTGGGGAGTTGACAACACAGGAAGGCGTTCCAGGTCCAGTGATGTGACGGTCAAGACCCCCTGCCCTGTGGTAGATGATGTGAAAGCTCAAGGTGAGAGGGAGGGAGCTGCTGGACTGTGTTCCTTGGGACCAGCCACAGGGATTTCCCCCTTCCAGTACATCCCTGCACTTGTCTCGTGCATTGGCTGTAACATCACCTTCACCCGTGGTGGCCCAGGAGCTGCCATGTGCTGTGGGGGGTTGGGGTGGAGGGCTGCAGGAGGCACATGTCCTCTCTGAAAACAGACGTGGATGAATGGTATTTCACTAACAGTACCTGATGGCACCACCCATTTCTTTTCCTAATTAGCCCAAACTGCGGGAAGCTAACCTGGACTGAGTCCAGGGAATGCCATCTATTCTGTTGCTCCTCTGCTGGGACCTTGCCTTGATATGACATAAATCATAATTCAGGGGACAAATCTTCGTTCTGGTCTTGGTTTCCCTAGAGCTGAGCTTCAGACTGGTGGGCTTAATTCACGCCTCTCCTGGCACCCCACTGAATAGCCCCTGTCTTTCTGTCCAGAAATAGCAGACAAGATCTACAACCTGTTCAACGGCTACACGAGCGGCAAGGAGCAGCAGACAGCCTACAACACTCTGCTGGATCTGGGCTCCCCGAGCCTCCACCGAGTCCTCTACCACTACAACCAGCACTACGAGAGCTTTGGGGAGTTCACCTGGCGCTGTGAAGATGAACTGGGGCCCAGGTAGGCTCAGGAGCTGGGTCAACTAGGCAGGCAGGTCTGCCCACCAACATGCTTGTCCCTTGTAGATGTTGGTCACCGGGACCAGCTCTCTAAAAATCTCATGAGTTAAAGACAGATGATAGGGCTTAGAGTCTCACAGTGGGGTTTCTGTTTTGCTGGATGCCGTGCATGTGTTCAGAGACCAGTCATCTCCCCTGAAGGACCATAAACATAGGACTAGGTGGAAAGTGGTTGACCACTGTCAACCCAACATCCTTGTTCATCCCATCAGCCCTTTCCTGCCTCTGGGATTTTTCCTGCTATGTTCATGCTATGCAGAGTAGGGAGGAGATGGGATTTTCTTTTCTCCTTGGTAGTTGATGCCACAGGCCAAAAGGCAGAAGGTCTCAAAAAAATAATGCACCTTTGAGGGATGGAGACTCTGCTTTCCCCCTTTTCCTGCACTTTGGCTTGAGTTGCATGCATCTCTGTGTGCTGAACTCACTGTCAGTTGTGGTCCAAAGCAGGCACTGGCCTGCCCTTACGTCTGAATTGCACATGTTCCCTCCCTTTTGATTCATGTCTGTGGTTGTACGGGGTGACACAAGTGTTTTTGGTGCCCAGGCAATGCTGAGCTGCCACGGCAGGTTTTGGAAGAGATTGTCCTGAGCTCTTCCTGGCTGGAACAGTCCTTTTGTGCCTGAGTGAGCACCATGTCTTCTCCTAGGGCTCCTCCAGGTCATTAAAGGCCCTCCAGCTGCCTGAGAATGGGACACCTCATGTCCCAGGCTTGTGGAGGCAGCCAGATGTTCCCTTCTCCCCACATCCTTCAACATCCGCTTTAGTCTGCGTGGTTTCCCAGTAACGTAGATGTTTCCAGTCAGTTTAGCAAGCTGGACTGGGAGATTGTGTGTGCTGCAGTGGTTTTTCACAGCATCTGGCCTCCAAAGAACCAGAGCTGTGAGCTCATCTGCAGAGTTACTTCAAATGTGTGTCAGCGACAGCTCCTGTGTATGAAATCCATGGCCTCCACCTTGCCCCATGCCCCACACCTCCTCTTGCTGGTCTCACCACTAGATGTCTTCCAGCCCTGCTTCTCCAGGTGATCACTTCAGGATTTCTAGCAGAGGACTGGAGATCCTCCAAGTGCCTTCTTTGTGCTCCAGACCTTGGCTAACCAGTCAGAAAGACTCAGCAAATAGCTGGTGGCTGTCTTGCACTTAATGTCTTTGACATGTCTCCTAGTTCAGCTTTGGTGGGAGACTCCTGATAGATTCTCCATGCCCTGGAGCAAAGCTGGGGGCTCTCTCTTTCCCCTCTTCCCGTTTATGTCCTAAGAAATGTGAGCTCAGCCTCAAAGCTCAGTAGCAACATCTCAGTACATGGAGTCTTGTTAAGGCAGAGGCTCCCACCAGCTCCTCTGCCCAGGGTTGCCTCATTCCCATGACACCAAGTAGGATCAGCAGGCTTGGACTTACATCTCACCTTTGTCTCGAGCCCAGCTGCAGTGATGCCACTCTGTCTCTGCTTCCAGATGTGAAATCCAGCCCTGGTTTGCACAGACCATCCGACATCTGTTGTGATGATTTGCGAAAGGAGTACATAGCATTCCTTACGTGACACACTGGAGTTGTCACACAGCCACTGCCATCACTGGGGCTGAGCTTTTACCGTCACTGCTCTCTACCCCAGTGAGGAGACCGAGCACCAGCCAGAACATGGCGTGGAAGCCACCTCCTCTAGCCCCGAGAGGCAGAGCTGCATTGGCACGGAGCAGCCAGAAATGCCACTGAATTACCCAAGGGATACCATTTGCTGCGTGAACCTACGAGCCAAGAGGGTTAATTCCACCCTCTGGAAATGCTGGAGCGCCGAGGATGGGATGACGCAAGTTGCTGATGAAGTGTTTGCAGCTCGCACTACTTGGAAAGAGACATTCAGGCAGCTGCAGCGGGTTCTGGTGATGACAAATCTTGGAAAGCAGACCTCCTGTTTGATCGTCTGCGAAGGCAAAGCACCCAGACTGGTGGTGACAGGACAAATCACTTGCAGATGACATTATTTAGCCAGCAGACAGCGTTTGTTTGACTGTTACTGATGCTCCTTTGAAGTCCTGGATGTGGACCCACGCGACTGACTCTACCGTGTCCCTCCTCCGCGCCTCCATCCCATCTCCTGCTTTGCTCATTTGGGGTGCACTTGCCTCCCTTCCTGGCAATGCTGACTGCTGGACTGAAGGAAGATAACTTGTCTGGGGTTATGAAAGCAAGTCACTCCCTCCTGGTCTGAGAAGGGCTGCAGAGAGCCCTGGACTTTGCATAAGGAAAGGAAATGGAGAGAAAAATGAGTAATAAGTGGAAGTTGGACTTGAAGCAAAGCCTGGTGAAATGTGGTGTCTGTGGGCTTCAAGCCAAAATCTGTGGGATCATATTTGGCGTTCCTGTGAGAGTGCCTGCAATGCTGGAGGAAGAGAGGCAGTTGTAGCACCTTGCCTAGGTGTCCAGATGCAGGGACCGAGGCAAGTGATACCTCGGTACCTTCTCATGGCTGGAAGACCTGACCAGCTTGGGTGGCTGTCTCCAGAGTCAGCACCATGCTGAGCACCTCCTCCTCTCTGCCATGCTCTGGTTGTGAGCCCTGGGGTGGCAGCTCTCAGGTGGCTGCAGAGCTGGAAAACCACTCAGTGGCTCCAGACAGGCCCCTTGGAGCTGCAGCCACATCCATGAGGGACCTCTTGAGAGTTTTCTCTCCAGGAAAGCTGAGGTTGGCTCTGGCTGGACTTGAGGTCAATTAAATCCTCTCTAAGCAGCTCTCCCACAGTGTACCCTGCCTGGAGGGGCTGTGGATATTCCTTCATGGCTGGTAAACGTGCCCTTGAGCTGTCAAACCAGGCACAACACAGCTGTGTGCTCCACACACCACCCCTGCTTATCCAAGTAAGAATGTGGCAAGGAGGGATTCTTTTCTCCAGCATCATGATTTGTGCCCCCACTGCCTGTTCTGTGCTGAGCGTATGCTGAGTTAAAGCTACCAAGGGGATGTATCCTCTCTTCTTTGACTGTACCAACCCACCAACTGACCTTGAAGCTGCATAGGAAACTTATCCCAGCTCTTCAGACACTTAAACTTTTGTCTGGGTTTCCAGGCACAAGATACTCACCTTCAAGACACTTCATTTGAATCCATTACCTCCACATTTGCCAGAATCCCTGGAGATCACCCAAAGTGCTAGACAAGTTTAAAATGAACATAATGTGTTTTATCTGTACAAACTGATTTTCTTCATAAAACCATTAGAAGCACAATTTTAAGAGGAAAAATTTGAAGAGAACACAGTTTAGGTCATATTTGGCCGGGATCCTTCGAGCCCTTCCAATATCTCATCTAACACGACAGGCTGGTAGTTTAGCACTTTCTCACCACCAGAACAAGCCTTCACTGAGGCCGTGTTGCCCTGGGGGTGCTGTATGTCTGCTGCAGAAGATGGATTCATCTTGGACCTACTCTCCCTCTGTCATTCGACCTCGTCTCCTGGCTGGGTTGCAGCTTTTCAGGAAGTGCTACTACTGTGACTTGTCTTTCCTTGATTTGCTCTCTGCAATTGGAAGATGCAAAATGCATATACAAAGAACTGGGGAGTTCTGCCACATCCTCTACTCTCTCAGAGCTTTTTGGATTAAACCTGTGTTTGATGTATACCTCAGTATATCCCTTCTAGTTTACACACTGTCCTATGGGACATGTTTCCCAAAATGTTACTAAACATTACAAGTCATGTACCAGGAGTGTTGTTCACTGCACTTATGCCTTGTGATGTTGCCTCTTACGAGGATCATAGTTTTTATCTCACTTTCAGCTTCCATACAGATCCCCACAAGGCAGGCATGACATTGTGATTTGGGTTTTTTATTTCTTAAATCTCCTTCATCCTCAGTGGTCCAATTGGGACTGCTCATTTCTGGCATTGGAGAAGCTGTAGGTGCCCCACTCCTGGAAATGCTCAAGGCCAGGTTGGATGGGGCTTGGAGTAACCTGGTCTAGTGGAAGTTGTCCCTGCCCCCATGGCAGGGGGAGTGGAATGAGATAATCTTTTAGGTTCCTTCCAGCCCAAACCTTTCTGTGATTCTATGTGCTACACCAAGTCATGAATGACCAGCATAGTTCTCAAACATGCAACGCATGTACTTCATGGTGACACGTGGTGACTCTGGTCTGGGCTGGCTCTGTGTGTCATACCTGACACTTTTTAGCCTTTGTCCCCACTGCTTGCAGTGCTGTTGGCTCCCAGTTTCCCATCCTGTTGTGTTTAGGGTTCAGTAGCTGCAGCAGGGACAGGTGTTGCCATTTGAGTCATTGGTGATGTCCACCCCAAAGGGGGTTTCACAGCTACACCTGTGACTGTCTCCTCACTCAACACTCCGCAAACCCGGCCTTGTTGCACAGGTGAAACAAGAAGAGGGGACAGGACAGGGAAATGTGAGGGGAATCCCAGTGCAGCAGGTCCAGCACCACCATGGTGACATGGGCATCTCTGCCCTGGGTAGAGGCTGTTCTCCCATGCATTTAGTTTGCAGTGCTGCCTTGGGGATGGTGTGTTCCTCCAGCCCTGCCACCCCTCCTCATCCTGGCAGCGTCAGCCTCCACTCGCCTGCTCTGGAGTTATCTCTTCTCTCTCAAGAAGCTCCCATCATGTCCTTAACTGTCTTTACTTTTCTCTCCTCACACACTCCTGCTGCCCATCCCGCCATCCCCCTCCGTGGTGTCTCCATCCCTCCCGCCACCCACTCGCTGTCCATCGTCCCCCTGGCATCTCCCCTTGCCCGCCCTCGCTGCAGGAAGGCCGGCCTCATCCTCTCTCAGCTGGGGGACCTCAGCAGCTGGTGCAATGGCCTCCTGCAGGAGCCCAAGATCAGCCTCCAGCGCTCATCCCTCAAGTACCTCGCCTGCCGCTACAGCGAGATCAAGCCCTATGGGCTCGACTGGTCGGAGCTCAGCCGGGACCTCAAGAAGACGTGCGAGGAGCAGACGCTGAGTGTCCTTTACAATGACTATGGGGACAAGGACTACTGAGGGTCACGGGCGCCCGCTCTCACGCTGGCCCTTCCCATGGGCGTTTGTGAGGGTTTTATACGTGGACCCGTGGAGGGGGAGGGTGTCACTGATGTTTCTGGAGGCAAAAATTTGGACTGGGGAGCAAAACTGACTGCTCTATGCAGGACTGACTCAGTATTAGTTTCTTCTTCGACTTGGGCAAAAGCCTTTCTAGTTAGAAGTCTTGTGGGACCCAGTTTTCTTGGTTTTGTTTTATTCATTTTGCCAAGAGGTTCCTCAGCACTGGTGGAGAGGGCAGGTTGGGAGGGCACAGCCCTCTCCTCCTGCCCCATTCCTGCCCTGGCTGTGGGGACTGTCCCCAAGGGTGGAGGACACCAGTCATGAGAGAAACACAGTGACACAACCAGGATGGGAGAGCAGGTGATGCAGGGTTGGGAAAATGGAAGCAGGGCATGCAGGTCAGGTGGAGATGCTTATGGTTATGGCTGAGCTAAACAGCCAGTGGATGGCCAACAGGGCTGGGATGGGTTTTTTTGCAGCTGTGAAGCATGAGGTCTGGATGAGACATGGCCAAGTGATGGTGTCATTGGTGAGCAGGGCTGACGCGGTGTCACCATCTGGGGTGAGGAGAGAGGGGCCTTGGTGAGCCCATCTCCTCAGGTTCTGTGCCATGGTCAAAGCCCACGTGTGCTCCAAGATGCAGAGTCCTCCAGAACAAAGGCAGCTTGGCCTCAGGGCCGGTGGTCAGCTGGACATCACGAGCTTTCTTCTTGTGGGACCACGTTCCTAGGAAGTCAACTTTAAAATCCCCTCCGTTACTTTTTGTTCTTTTTTTACCCACCATAATAAAGACTTCGAAGCAATGTCAAACTGCTGCTGTGGAGAGGCCCAGCCAGGAGAGCAGCAACCAGATGGTATGGACAGGGTGGCCATCTGCACCAGCCAACGTAGCTGTGGTGTAGCCCAGGCTCTGCATGGGGAAGGGAGAGGAGTGCAGGGTACCCCAACACAGTGGTTCAGGATGGTCCTGGAGGGCATGGAAGGCAGGCTTCTGGGGGTATTGCTTGCCTGTGTTCAGGCTCACATCTGCAGCTCTCAGTGGCTTTTTTTTTAAAAACAGAGAGCTAGGGTTGTACTGGGACACTGGGCTTGGTTCGGAGCAAACTGTTCTCCAAAACCCTGTCACTGCTGATGGTGTTGGAGGCAGAAAACAGCTTCCTTTCAGCTTCAGCTTCCAGCCTGGTTTGCAGAGGAGGCGTCTCTGGACTTGCCAGCTGCGCACCTTTGATCTGGACAAGCCCGTAGCCCTACAGTGGGATTTTTACGATGCCTCTTCAGAGAGAAATTTCCTTTTAATTTTTTTCAGTCTTGGCAGGAGCAGTCTTCAGCCTGTCTCATACAATTTTCTGCCTCATTCCTCCTCCTACCTGCCAAGGACATGGTTCGAATATTTGCGTGGTGCTGAGAGGGAGGCGGCTGTGCTCTGCCGCCGGTCACAGCCCACAGCGCTGTATCACAGCACTTTCTCAACAGCAGTATCTCCCTATAGGACCACACCGTGCTTTTCTCTTCCCTTTTAATGGACAGACCTCTCCCCAGGGGCAACTGGCCTGGACTGGGGAGCTGCTGGGAGCAGCCACCAGCAGTCAGTATTACCTGGGTATCCCCGTGTCATTGCTGTAATGAATGTGTCTAGCAGGGGTCGTCAGACAAGCGGCTGCTGTGTGCAAGAAAAAAGTCTGCTGGATCCTTTTGGCTTTTTCTCATGTTTGTCCTTATATTTTGATGTGCCTGATGCTGCCAAGGACTTGGGGCTCAGAGCAAGACAAGCACCACCTCCATGCACAGATACATACAGGCAGGTGATCCGTACTGAGCCGCCGCTCCTTTTCCTTTCAGCCGCCGAGACTCTTGGCCCAGACACTTCAGTTTATCCTTTTGCTTATCCCAGCATATGCTGGGACAACTTTTAACTTCCAGCCAGGCAGCTGTCCAGGGTTGGGCAAAGGGCACCTCCGCCCAAGGCCTCGGTGGGATGCTTGAACGAAGGCTGCTCTGGCCCAGATGCCGGTTGGTTTCTCGCCAAGTAATACTGCATGTACGGCCTTTATATGAAACACAGACTGTTTTTCTTTGAGTAGCAGACTCCTTTCTTTTATTGCTTACTAGGTGCAGCAGCAGGGATGGGAGCAGTGCCATGTGCCAGCCACTCACTGCGACGCTGCCAGGAAAACCCTGGACATCCCATGTGTTCACACCTGCCTAGGTTACTTTTTCATCTGGCCCCGAGATTTGCACTGAGGCTCTGCAGAGATTTCTGTTCTGCTCCTGTGCTGACACTTCAAAGCCCTTGCATGGGCGACCGACACCCTGCAGCATCATCAGCTGGCTGGGCTGGACTCTGCTCCCTTGGCCCCACTTCTCCATGGGCTGGGGAGGGCGAGGGGAAAGCCACCCCTCTGAGATTCTTTAGCATCACCCCTTGCACGGCTGGATGGGGCTCAGCATCCCCATCCTGTTATGGACAGCACAGTCTGCTGGTAGGACTGTGCTCTTCCTGGACCGCCGTGGTGTCCCTGCAGCCGCTGTGCTGGCAGGTCCTGCCAGGGTGGCACATCTGTGGGGCCACTCACACCATGACCCTGGCTTTGGGAAGGCTTCCCTCTTGGTTTCCTCACTCTGACTTTGCCAGTCAGAATTTTGCCCAAACTTGGATTTTCTTGCGAAAACCTCTCCACTGACACACGAGTCCATCTCAGACAAATGCCAGCAGCCTGCCACGGGGGCCCAGACCAGAGCAGGGGGTTGCACCATGGCTGTAGACCTGGCCTTGGTGAGATGAGTTGTGTGGGGCTTGCTCACCCAAAACAGGTGTGCCCTGGTCTAGTGAAAGGTGTCCCTGCCCATTGTGGTGGGGTTGGAAATACGTGATTTTTAAGGTCCCTTCCAAACCATTATATGATTCTGTGATTCCCTGCAGAGCTGACACTGTCCACATCTGGCACAGGGTCCTACGGTTGGGTCTGCACAATATTTTCTCTCTTGGACTCCTGTTTCTTCCTATGCTGCCAGCGACATGAAAACTGGATAAGGCACTCTTTTCCATCCATTTCTGCAACCTCCTTTGCCCCCCTGCCCTCCCTTTATGTTTTATTTCTGAATTAATGAGCGATCATTCACCTGAGATGAACCTCTGGGTCGTTTCCTTTTCTTTGCTACGTCCGTACCCCTGTAATAGCATTACTACCTTTTACTTGTCGTGGAGTTATTTAACATATAAAGATGGTTTGGTCCTTTTCTTTACAAAGATGGCTACAGTTCATGTTCCTTGATGTTCTATTAAAACTCTGATGTGACGTTTTACTACTGTAGATTGAAAGTAGGGTGCTTTAGGGTGAGATAGCCATGTGGCAAGAAACACAAAACCCTTCCAGATTACCTTAAAAAAAAAAAAAAAAGAAAAGAAGAAAAAAGTTTTAAACAACAGCAACAACAAAAAAAAATATAAAAATCATTGTAACACTATGTAAAACTCCAGATGATAATTTAACTGACTATTAAATGGAGCTATTAGTAATCCCTGGCTCTGGCAAACTGGAGTGTTTGTTTATAGTTTTGGTCCTGTTGATGTCATCTTTTGGTCACGGATGAAACACTCCCAGCCTTTGAACTTGGGTGAGTCTTCACACAAGTTTAGCATTAGCCTGTCTGCCCATTGGGTTAGCCAAGTCCCAAAGCACTCAGCACACACAGATGGAGCCGTGTCCTGCTCCTTGCCTTGCCCACCTGCTCTGCCGGGCATGGGAAGGTGTGGATGTCTGCAGGCACCTTTGGGTTTTGGGGGGGAAAAATGCATTTACACATCCTTGGCAAGGGTGTCTCAGTCTGCAAACCTCCACAGGGGCTGGGAATTTGGAAACAGAGTCCAAAGAAGCTTCTTTTAGTTGTTTTTTTAGTACAGAAGGCGGATGGGATGGTGCTGTCTGGTGGTCAACCACCCCCCAAGAACATCCTGGTCCACCTGGCAGACTTTTGACAGAGGACTAGGAGCATCATGAATATTAACATCCTTCAAATGATGTGAAAACCAGTGCCTGAACAGAGATGAGAGCTGCAAAGGATACCTTAAAAGCCACTCATAGTGCAGTGTTGTGTCTAATGCTCAGGTCATCAGGACTTAAAAGGGCTAGTCCCTTGGCCAAGCCCAATGTGTATTCCCACCTGCCCTGCCAGATGGGTTGGGAGACCTGGGGAGGATCAGGGATTACTGGAGGCAGGCAGACAGGATGCCTGGGAGGACACAGGAGAGTGGGAATTTAGGGGCTATAGCACACAAACCCATAGGAAACCAGACTTCATTAAGTCTCATGGAACAACTTGATTTTTATTTTTTTTCTCTTCCTGTTGCTAAAATACAGGAAAATAAGCTAAAAATACACCCAATACTTTCCTTCTGCTAATTTCCCTGCAGTTAAGTGCTGTGGCTGCCACCGCCTCGTCGCACAATAACCTGTGGCTGTGGAATGAGACATGAGGAGGAGAAGGAGGAGGAGGAAAAGAAAGGAGGGACAGGATGGGAAAGCAGCTGTTCACTTGGCTACTGCCACAGACAGCTGCTCTTAATGTTTTATATGCAAGACACACAAGTGGGGGCCTTGTTGCTTGGGGCTGTGGGGGACCCCTTAATGTGCTCTCTCCTTCATAGCAGCAAATCTGGCTCCTCAAAACACATGATTTGGGGAGCTTTGCCCTAGAGAGGACATTCAGTGTCACCAGGAGATGCTGTTCCTCCTCTAGGAGTGATGAGAAAGTCCATGCAAAGACCAGACATAAAGAGGAGGCCGGTGAGGAACAAAGGGACGCACATGACCATAAGAGATGGATGGAAGAAGAACAAGGTTAAAACACAGGACAAGGCCTTTTTGGTGTTTCCCAGTCAATATGTACAAAGTTTATCTGGTTACTTACCAAAAAAAAAAAAAAAAATTCCCAAATATTTAATTAATTGTTTTGATTGTCTTTGGTTTTAACTCTCTTGCCAGGATGTCACATGGCATGGCCCTCTGGCTCCATTGTGAGCCACCCTCTGCTCCCCATCCCCAGGGAGGTGGTGTGTGAACATACACACACACACACACACACACACACACACACACACACTTTTCCCTACATTTAAAGTGGATTAATTACAAAAAATGATCAGCCTTGGACCAGTTTGTAGCATAACAAGCAGAAGACCTTCTGCAAAAGTGTTCTTGTACCTGGTGGCACAGCAAAAGCTGCCTGGGTGGCAGCCTTGAATTGTGGGGGGCATTGGAGGTGAGTGTTCCCCTCCAACCAAAAACCCAAAGGAGATCTTCCACTGGGCTGGGACAGCTCTGGGTGAGTCCATAGTTTGGGGCAGAGGAAAAGCATGTGGGACCGAAGGTGCTGGGAGCAGCCAAACCACCTCCCTGGCGCCCTTTTGGGTGAATCAAGGAGACAAAAGAGATGGAGGATGAGAAGATTATTTATTTTTCATAGATTTTTATAAAAAATAATTATCAAATACAAAAAAATAAAAATAGCAGCAGCCTCCGTTGTGAATAAAACCCTAAAGGGGACAAAAACCGCTCAGTGTCGCTATAGAAGAACAATATTTCGGTACGTAGAAGCTGTCCGGTCATGAGAAGCACAAATGTCTACCAGCCAAGCCAGTGCCTCCAGTCCCACCCTCCCCAGCTCCCCTGTCCATGGGTCACAGTCCCTTCCCTGCACGCACAGGTGAGCAGGGACAAGACCAGGATTTTTGTGCCAAAAGGGTAATAATTTGTCGTCTAAACACATAGGCATCTAGATAACGCTGCCGCCAGGTAGGGAAGGGTTTGGCATGGCAAGATGCTGGGACTTGAAATTCTCTCTCTGTGTGTGTTACCCTCATACCATGTCCCCACCGTCCCCACTGTGGGGGGCTGCTGGGACCCCCACTCCATCTCTGTTAGGACCCCTGGATCTCCCCTTCCCTGCACTGGTGGAGCAGTGCAGGCTGCACCCCCTGGGGATGTTGGGCCAACTTTTATTTAAATTTCCTTGGCTTATCTGAGGGGGTTTTTTTATTGAAAAGTGGATTATCTGACAAAAAATTGCCCAGTTGACAGCGCATTTTGGGTGAAAACCCTGGGGTCACTCGTGTGTGATGGGAACAGAAATGTCAGTGTGTCCCTGCTGCAAAAGGAGATGGGACCCACTGTCCCCCACCTCTCCTCCAATCTCTGCTTAGACCAGAGATCAGGAACACATGTGATCAGGAAAGGGCTTGGAGAAGGACAGGTAATCCCCTGCCTGGACGCTGTGGGATGTCCAGGCACCTCTGCCCCTACTCCTGTCTTCCAGTAAAGCACAACTGTAGGAAATGCCTGACAAAAAAAGGATGGGGGAGATCTAGCAGAAGCCAAACGATGCCTTGAAAATCCCCAGTCTCTCCACACCGTGTCACCCTCTCTCCACCACTCTTTCACCAGACAAACCCTGGCTTGAAGCCTGTCTCCAACAGCACAGGCTATGTGGGGAGAAGGCAGCAGGGCAGCCCGGAGTCCCTTGGTCCCAGCCTGCAGCTGAACCTGGGGGACACCACGGTCTGTGCTTCTACTCTGTGGTCCCTTCTCTGCTCTCTTCTCCTCTTTCTATCCCTTTTCTCTGCCTCTTTACAGCACAAAACCATCAGGGATAATCCCAGCAGGAGCCAGGCACCTTCCCTATTGCTGCCTCTATGGGGCTGGGTCCCAGCTGCCAAGCTGAGCTTCTGGGAATCGATTATGGGGTCAAAGTTTCTTGATGGGCTTCTTTGGGGCTTGAAGTGAATCTGAAGATTTTTCTCTTGGTGCCTACAAGAGCAAGAGACTCATTACAATCGGTGACTGTATGTCCAGTGTGATGGTCTTGGACACAGAGGTAATAATGATACTACTAGGAAGATCTCAGTGGGAAAAGATGATGCTCAGTCTCCTGACAGGTTTTTTGGGTCTTGTCTCTCCTTGCATGACAGGATCTGATCTCCTCTGAGAACTGCTGACAGCACTGTTGAAACTCAGATGTGGGGAAAGAGAAGAAGGACCACCTCATCATCCTTCATTTGAGCACCACACAGCTACTCTGGGTTGCCCACTACAACCCTTGTTTAGTTGGGTGCACAGTGGCCGGGGCAGCGAGGCAGAGGACTGTGGTGAGTCTGCTCCTACTGACCATGCAGTGACCTCATGGACACATACCCTTTCCCAGAGGGCTTTGAAATAATGTCTGGTGGATGCCTGTGGTGCCCTTGGAGTCCATTGTGCTCGCTGGGGTGATTCAATGGCACAGCAGTGTTTTTCTCAACCCCAGAATCCTGATCCAGGGCTCTAAGCAGAGCAAGGCAAAGCATTGGCAAATCCCAAGGGCAAAACTTGGTGCCTGCAAGATGCCCAAACCACCTTCAGGTGGGAGCCTTCATGCCTGGGGAGCTCTCTCCTGGCATGGCCTGGGTGTTTGGCTTCTCTCTGTCCTCCTTCCAGCTCCCCCTCAGCAAGGAAGGGGAAATTGCCTGCTCCTCCCGCCCTGACCTGCGCTTTTCCCAATGGTTTGTACTTCACAGCAGCATGGGTGTGTGACAAAGGATATCCTTTCTCAGCTTCATCAAGAGCAAAGAAAATATAATATATATTTATATATATATTATATATATGTATATAGATATAATTAAGTTTAAATATTTGCAGAGAGATCACAACTACCTCGACCTTGCTAAAAGAAGCCTGTACAGCAGAGGGGGGTGAATAGTGACAAAATCCAGAGCAAAGACAGACACCCAGGTGCTGGACCAGGACAAACACCCATGGCAGCACCTGGGCTCTCGGCGTGGACCCCAGCTCAGCGTGTGGCTGAAGCGGCACCGGACCCCTGGCTGAGCCCCTCGAGGGGGTTCGGGAGGGAGCAGCTTTGGGGAGGGGACCGCTCTGCCCTCCTGGGCTCCTCGGTGGCCTCGATCCTTCCCTTCCGTGCGCAGCCGCCACATCCCCGCCTGGCTCTTCCGTGGCCTCCTGCCCCCTCACATCCCGCCGCTCCCCAGCGGCCCCCGGTGCTGCCCCTTCGCTCCTCCGGCGCTCGCCTGACCGAGAGAGGCCCTTCCTGGTGCCGCTACTGGTTCTCCTCGGCCGCCGGGTCACGGCACGTGCACTCGTCCTGGTCGCAGTCAGCAGCAAACGGGATCACCTGGGGGTGGCCAAAGGGAGAGCTCAGCCTCTGCCCTGAGATTCCCATCTCCTGGTGCCCCTGCAAGCCCTCTCCACCCCAGTACGGCCAATAACAATGGATGTGTGGACAGACAGACGCTTTAGGCTGTGCCCCGTTGTTGGCGTTGCGGAAACTGCCAGGCACAACCTGCCCCCAGCTCAGTTGTATTCGTAGCCTTTTCCTTTTTGTTAGCTTGTGTTTCATAGAATCATAGGATATGCTGAGTTGGAAAGAACCCATCAGGATCATCAAATCCAACTCCCGACCCTGCACAGGGCACCCCAGCAATCCCACTCTGTGCCTGAGAGGGTTGTGCAAATACTTCTTGAAGTCTGTCAGCGTTGGTGCTGTGACCCCTTCCCTGGGGAGCCTGTTCCAGTGCTCAACCACCTTCTGAGTGAAAAACCTTTTCCTGATATCTAACCTAAATCCCCCCCTGACTCAGGTTCATGCCATTTCCTCTAGTCCTGTCACTGGTCACTGGTGTTCAAAATTTGCAGCCAAGGGTCAGCTTGAATCTTGTGCCTCAAATGTCAGACCCTGGGAAGAAGTCTCCCCTGGTGGATATAAGACATTTGGACTAAGGCAGGCAGTGGTAAAGCACTTCTAGATTTAAGTTTTACTTTGGCCCCTGTTAGAAAGCCCCCTCTGTCCATGTCTGAACCCACGGACCTGTCTTTCAAGCTACTTCTGGCTCAGCAAAGCATGAAAGGACCATAACCTTGCCTTCTGCAGCTCTTGGAGGAACTCAGCCAGGCTCCCAGCTGCAAAGCTGAGCTCTACACTACCCAATACAGTAGCCAAGGTAGGTGCATATAGTCCTTGTGCATTGTGGATTAAGAAAAGCTAGGCAGGATGGAGTCTCTGTGAGCAGGAACAGCCTTCAGTGGGGCAGGCAGTGTGTTCATGCAGGGCTACCCACCAGCTGTGCTGCTTTGAGACACCCCATGCAGGTCGGGAGGCTCATTACATGTTGCTTTCTCTGCAACTGTATGTGGCAAAGCAAGACTATGTCACCTTAGCTGGTGACAGCAGAGAGAGGAAGGAGGGCACCCACCAAGCATCTGACTCCTGGTTGCCAGTTGCCTGGTCATGGGCTATGGGAGCTGAGAAAACAGTTTCCTCCAGAGGTTTTATACACACCAGGCTCAGAGCCAAATATGGAAACACATTTGATTTTTCACAGCCTGGATCAGTCATGAGATGGAGTGGTTTTGTTTTGGGTTTTTTTGATGATTAAACTCTGTATTCCTGCATCTGCCTTAACAGAGATGTGCTGGAGGCTTGTTGAGCGGAAGATATGGGACCTGTGGGGGATGCAAGCTGGGTCTGGGTCTCCTGAGAGCCATGGGACCAAATCCCCCCACCTTCCACAGTGAACCTATCCTTTATTTTGGCCATGCCTTGCTCCAAGATGTCATATCGTTGTGGGGATTTCACTCATCGCTTGGGTGTAAAGCCTTTTCTTTCCTATCAAGAGGATCTTCCCAGGATTTTATTTTTCCTTTTCTCTGTGTGTGTATGTGTGATGAAAGGAAAAATGATTCAAGCTCCACAACAAAGATGAGAAGATCCAAATTCACATATTTTCGCAGTGAGAAATTATCTCATGCCCTATGATTTGTTTTGCTGTTGGATATGATTAGGAAGGATGGGCTGTGAACGCTGGATAGTGAGTTAGGTGGGAGGGAAGGTTGTGATGGGAGACAAAGAAGGGTCTGTACAACCCCAACGCCAAGTTGCTCCCTCTACACTATTCCTCCCTCCTTCCTTCCCTAGAAGAGGGAGGGAAACATAGCCCACAGCAGAGGCCAGTGGACCATACCAAAAATCCCCTGAGATAGCTCAGTTGCATGACAAGGTGACTTCAGACTCACCATGTCTAGCACTATGTCCTATGGAAGTCATTTCTTTGGGACTCATTTCCCAAAACGAGAGGGAATCCTGTGAACCTCAGTGGGAGCTGGGCTGAGGTTTCAGTCACGCTGGCCCAAGTCCAAACCCCGCTCTTAATCAGTGGGATGATGTCTATCAGCTTCAGCTGGCTTTGGTTTAAAATCATGGGTTTGTTCTCCGTTCATGGGAGAATTGCACTGCAGGCTCGGTTCCACAGCCAGTAAAGCTAAAGAGCAGAGCTGGCAGTCACCCTTCAATCCCAAATCCTGGCCAATGCCACAGAGGGTGCTCTCTTACCTTCCTGGAGGACAGTGTGGAGGCGCAGCAGTCCCCACCGTCATACTGGCAGTATGCCCGGTTGTTGATGGTGTCACACCAGCCGTCTGCTTGGAAGGGCTAGGCAGGGAAATGAGGATTTGTGAAAGGGTTAGTCAAAAGCAGAAGGTTGCCCCCAAAAGTAGAGAACCCAGGTCCTCAGCAAGACCCCTTTCACATTACACAACCCCCTCTTCAAAGCCAAAGGGCACCAGTTGTCCCGGCTGCTGTGGATGGAGCAGTGGGTGTTCCGAGGCCAGCAGCTGGAGGATCAGAGAATTGTGTCAGAAATGTTAGATGGCACAAGCAGCCATTCAGAAACCCATTTTACTTGTTCTTTAGTTGCATGAGTCATCTGATGAGAGAAGAGGAAGAAGCATCTGGGGCTGAGAAGCAGCCAACGATGGCCGAGGAGCAGCGCTGTGCCATGGGTGCAACAGCGACGTGCATGGGAATGAACTGTTCACTTGCAGTGAACTGTCAGGAACAGCCAGCAGCTGAGCTTTATTTGTCACAGATGCACACCAGCACTGCCAAGCAACAGCTGAACTAGGTAGCTGAATGGAGAAGCCATTCAGTAACTGGGTGATTAGTAATGAAATGCTTCTTCTGCTTCAGGCTCTGGGATTGGTAGCTCCTGGCACAGCAACCTCCTCCAGGAGGACTGCTGTCATCAGAGTCATAGAATCACAGGATGGTTTGGGTCGGAAGGGACCTTAAAGACCATCTCGTTCCAACCACCCTGCCATGGGCAGGGACACCTTCCACTAGACCAGGTTGCTCCAAGCCCCATCCACCCCGGACTTAAACACTTCCAAGGATGGGGCAGCCACAGCTTCTCTGGGCAACCTGTACAAGGGCCTCACCACCCTCACAGCCAAAAATTTCTTCCTAATTTCTAGTCTAAACCTGCCCTCTACCGGTTTAAAGCCATTGCTCCTTGTCCTATCACTCCATGTCCTTGCCAAAAGTCCCTCTCCAGCTCTCTTGGAGCCCCTTTAGGTACTGGAAGGTGCTTTAAGGTCTCCGCAGAGTCTTCTCTCCTCCAGACTGAAGAGAACTCTTGGTGGAAATCTTGGTACTCCATTGTTCATGGGGTACAATGGGCTGACCCATTTCATTGGATCTGGTAGCCTTAAACAGTAACAAGCTTCAGAAAATACCCAGACTCAGCCTTTGATGATGGACACCCACCTGCAGCACCCCTAAACCGAATGACAGCTGAAAAACGTCACTGCACCGTGATTGCCCTGCATCCACTGTGCCAAAGCCAACTCGTGGGACTGGTGATTATACCAATAATTCACACAAAAAGGCCATGCCAAAAACAGGGAACCGATGTGGCTTTTTGTCCTCATGACTCACAAGGAACAGAAACGGGCTCAATGCAGGCTAGGCTAAACTTTAGGAAGTAGCAGCAGAGATTATGGCAAACCACCGAGCCTGGTCTCTGCTTTCAGTACCACAGGCCAAATCCAGGCATCCACAGAGAGACTGCATTTGCCTGGAAGATCTCGGAAGAAGGAGGAACACACCTTCCTGCAGCTGGGTGTTGAGGGACAGCCAGATTAGGCAGCTCAGAAACAAGAAGGTGTTTTACTCCCATTATTGCTGTCACAAATCATGTCCAGGAGAAAAGGGTGCAATTTCATCAAGGCAACAGGGTTAACAATCCTCTTTCACTGAAAAGCATCAGGTGGGTCTTAAATGATGGTGATCAAAGAAGGTCTCTGAGCCTCCAAGCAGCTTTGAGTACCGGGAGGGCCAGGGCAGGGATGTCAGGGCTGGTGGGTGCAGGGATGCAGTCAGGGGACCAGCCAGAGCCACTGGCAGGGGAGAGCTCTTCTGGGTGTGATTTGCTTTTGCAGCCTTCCACACGGTGGAGTTTTTCCTTGAGCTTTGCTCCATATGTCATGACTCACTGGCAAAACAACACCCGTCGCTTCGGTAGTTTCCATACAATTATGGGAAGGTTTGCCCATCCCGGCTGCACAGGTCTGAAACGATTTCCAGATCCTGTGTGCAAGGTGGGGGGAGGACAGACACAGGGACAGGATGAGGAAGGAGAGGCTCTCAGTCTCTCTCTACACCTATTAGGGCTGACTGCCCCCTCCTCTCAACCCACTGGAGCCCGTACCCCACCCTAAACAAATACAGGCTCCTATGGCAACACTCGTTGGGGAAACTTAACAACTCATGCTCCAAATTACATTGGAAAAACATATGAGGGGAAAATAGAAAATGACTAATTGGACTCGAGGCTCAAGAGAGCCAGGCACAGGGTTTGGGGACTGCTGTCCCTGCTCCTTGCCTCATGTCTGGAGAACACAGTGACTCCTGTGCCTTGTTGAGAATCTCCAGCTGGTTTTATCTTTGCAAGCAGAGAGAGCAAAGTAAGGTGCTGGTGGGTCACCCTCGAGGGCACAGGAGACATACATCAGTCTCATTTTGGCCTTGCAAAAGTTACTGCCAGGTAGGACATGGGCAATGCAATGGACTAAGAGCAGGTGATGTGAGAGAGGAAAACCCATACAGACCCTGCGCTTCAGACATGTGGCTCTGCAGAAATCAGCTCCAGGGGTGGGAGAAGGGAGGTTTGCCCAGGCTGGCGACTCGCAGGAACGCTGGCAGGAAAAAGGAAAACACCGATGCCCAACTGTGCCACACCTGAATATGATCCAGGGAGATGGATATGCATCATCCAGCACGGGGAGGGGGGGGAAAGGGCTGGTTGAAATATCTCTTATAAATGGGGAAAAAATGAATAAGGTAATTGCTGCGACCGCTCCACGCCGCGTTAAGTGACGGGACTGCTTGGCCAGGCTGAGTGCCACCAAGGCAGCCGGGCTGTGTCAGAGAATCTCCCGGCTCCCACCATCCATCCTCCTTGTTTGTTCAGACAGGAGCTTCAGCGGGGCAAGTGTCAGCACGTGGAGGTGCAGCCTCTGGCACCGCCGGGCCCGAGCCCTGCCCTGCCGGCACAAAAATAGTAACCACGAATCAAGTGCTTGGCAATTTGAATAGGCTAAAAAAACACAGCCTCTCAAAGCCGGGAGCAGGCACAAATGAAAAGAGAAACAATTAAAGGGGAAAAAAATAAAAGGGAAAAATATCGCAGGCAAAGGAGGGGTGTGAGAGGACTGGTTAGATCCCGATGCATCCTGGGCAGAAGCATCTCCAAGGGCTCAGTGGTGCTGTTTCTCTGAAGCTTGCTAGGAGATGCCATGCAGGGAGCAGTGTCTGTGTCCAGTATTTTTCCACAGCCCTTGCAGAGTGCCTGGACTGGTTCCCTCCCAAGGGCTTTCATTCTGCCCAGAGGGGAGTCCCCAGTGCCACCGGCAAGGCAGGCAGGGTCCAGGCACTTTTCTTCAAACTCACATTATAGGTAGGTTGGTTCAGTGTATAAGAGCATGAAAGGGTGCAACAGGTGAGAGAAAGATGAAGAATAAATCACAGATTTCATCAGAGTCATACATATTTCAGTGCTGCATCACAGGTGTTAGATTAACACTATTTCCCAGAAATGCAGGTTTTGCTCTGGCTGAGCAGACCTGAAGGCTCAGCACCTTGCTTTTGGCCACTACCCCTTCCAGGTGCTTCAGAAGAAGGTGGAAAAAAGAAAAAAAAAAACCAACCACCATTCACTAGGCCAAATGTGTAACCAAAGAGCTGAAAGACTCTCCTGCTCTGCCACTGAGATGGAAAGTGCTTGTCATTTCTATCTGCCCATAGCCATTGAAATCCCAGATGCCAGTTTCAGGGTATCAAGTCTAGCCTTAAGAAGCAAAATGTTTTCTCACAGCCTGGTCTTGGGCTTTGTGACTGTGCTGATCCATCCAAGGAGGGTGCACAGTTTGCTTTCATGCAGCTTCTAAGTCAGCTTGGATTCTGCTGTCCTTTCACTCTTCTCTTTGGGAATTGGCACTTTGGGCATCAAGCTCAGACCCTTTGCATGCTGACACAACTATGTGTGTCCCTGCAGCTGAGGAGGTGCAGGTGTCTTCATCCTCAGCTGTCCCTGTCAAGGCCACCCCAGAGAAACAGGGAAACCACCATTTCACTGGGAAAACAGGCAGGGATCAGCCCTGGAAAAGCTGCTGCTGCCCTCAGACCCAGGCCTTGTGCATCAGCTTCACTGCTGTTAATTCCTCTCTTGAAATGGATGAGTCATTAGTGGTGGGAAGATCAACTGGAAACCCCAACCCTTTGGTGGCAGGGGTTGTCAGCCCAAACCAGGGCTCACAGAACCATGGGACACGAACCTGAGCTGCCCCAAGGCTGGAGAGGGCTGCAGCTTCGTGGGTCTAAGATGTGCAAGAGAAGCGACATCCCAGGTGCAGGGTGATGCCCGTGGCAGGGAGGAGCAGGCAGGGATGAGTGGGGAAAGGAAAGCATGGAGAGGCTGCAGCCTTGACCAGGGAGAGACAGAGGGCAGCTTCTCCCTGCCGGATGCCTTCCCTTCCTCCCCACCTCAGCCACTAGCCAAGATACTTCCAAAAGCTCTGGGAGGTCCCTGGGAGGACTTGAAGAGTGCCCAAAGCCTTGTTAAACGTCTGGTTCACTTAAAGCACCAACACATCCACCACTCCAGCCTGGGTCCCTGGAAATTTCCCCTCTCATCCCTTGGCCCAACATCCTTCCAAACCACTGTTCCTCTACAGAAAACTGGGGCTAGTGTCAGTCCCTAAGGCCACCGCTGTGATGGGAGCCAGTTAAAGTGATGCCATTAACACCGTGTCCCCAGGACACATCCCTTTTCTTACACACACTCACGCTGGTGAGGCAGAGAGCCCGGCCATTCTTGGCTCCCCCTGCTTGCCCAGGGAAGTTGACTGGGAATGCAGACTGTGGGAGGAAATGACAATGTTCATTGTTTGGATTAAATATTTTTCTTGGCCCTCTCTCTGTTGTAGTGTGTCTTTTATTTTATTTTTCTCCCCCCCCCCCCCCCTTGACACCCCAAGCATATTCACTTTCCCTCTCTCCTTCCTGAGGCTCTCCAGCATGCAAGGAGGAAATCAGCTCTGAAAAACACAGGGAGGGACGGAGAGGGAACAGGGCTGGCTTCTGCTCAGAAAGTTTTCTGGGATGCCTCTCTGCCCTGAGCCACCCTGAGCAGTGAGCGAGCTCTACCTGGCCCATTGCAGAGAGGGAGGCAGAGTGAGCGCTGCTCAGAGGAAGAGAATTCTAGAAATTTGGAAGACACACCTGGGACCAAGTGGCCCAAACAAGAGAAAAGAGAAACAAAATCCTACAGACCTAGTGCTTCACTCCCCGTTTTTGTGTCTTCCAGTTTCTGTCCCCTGAGTCGTCCCTCCACTCCTTTTGAACCGTGGTAGCTGTCCCTTGGAGGCACATGCCTGTAGGATGGTTTGTTGGAGACATCATGAACCTGCCCCACCACCTCAGACGCAGCCAGAAAGCAAACTGGAGAAATTCCAATTGCTTCTATGCTTGCTGGTGTCCCTGAGCCATTCACCAGCTTAGCATGCAGGTGGCTTTCATCACACCTTGGGTCCCTAGAAACATCTGCTCAAGCTCCAGTATCCTTCCCCCCAAGCCTCACTAAGGAAACAGAGGCTTGTTGCTTGAGGACATACTCCATGTACCTGAAGGAACACTTCAAAGAAGGGCTGATGGGCTGGAAGGCAGCATCCTGCTATTTGATTTCAGCCCATGTGCCATCACTGGTACTGCTGTGCCCAGCTCCCAACAGTCCTGCTGTGGAGGTCTAGGTGTTCTTCAGGGGCCCCTCATACTCAGGATTCCTGACAACAGCTGAGCCCTGTTTGAATCAGTGTGAGTTGAGGTTGGACAGGACTGATGTCTGAAGAGGGATGGAGAGCAGAGATGAGGCTGCTGCTTGGTCTACAGCCTGAATGCTGCTGTAGATGGCCATACTGGGACAGCAGGTCTTGCCTTCATAGTGTCTGAAAATGCTTCTGTGTCCCAGGCCAGCATTTGGCTCAGACACATTTCTGCTACAGAAGTGAGCATGTGACACTTTGGGCTACTGAATGGGGATGCACTGCTTTATCCCAGTCCTGCTCTGCACCGTGTTCCTCAGGGACCTCCTGTCTCAGCAGACAGCCATGTGGAAAGGGCTTTGCATAGTCCCTGGGGACAAGAGGGAAGAAGGGGATGGAAAGCTGGGGTAGCTAAACACCACATCAGAGCACGCCTTTGCTTCCAAAAAACCATCCATGTCCATGAGGTATTCACAGTGAGGTCCCTAGCTTTGTCTTTTTTACACCCTGATCTCAGTGCTAACTGGAGAAAAAAAACAGAAGCAGGAAAGAACAGGCAGAGGGAAGCAGAGGAAGACGCCATGTGTCAATAGTGCTCCTGGCAAGCATGGTGGCTCCCGGAGACAGTCCCCAGCACTCACCATTCCCAAGGACACTGCTGCACACACAAGAGACCACGAGCACCAGCCTGCCATCCTGCCATCCTGCCCTCAGCAGCTCGCCTGCTGCATGGATCAGATCTCCTGCCAAGCCATTTGTGCAAAATATGTTGCAGGATAGAACGGGTTATGGAAAACAAGCCCTGAAAACCACAAGGGCCTCCTGACCCACTTGTATCTGGTTTCTGCCAAGTTCTTGTTACAGATCTTAAACAGAAAGAAAAACAATGTACGAGGGATGAAGGAGCTGAAGGGGAATGAATATTCGTGTTGGAAGAGCAGTTGGCTGGGCTGTGCTTGGGGATGTTTGTTTATTATCAGAAACGACTCATTGATTTTTATTTCAGTGGTTTTCCACTCCCTCAGTATCACCGGCTGTACGACTGTGACTGCTGGGAGAGGGGAAAGCGGGACATGGATGGGGATGGAGGGATGGCACCTGAGCTGGAGAGGGCAGAGAAGCAGCTGTAGGTCAGGGTCAGGGCATCCCAAGTGCAAGGCTGCTGGCACAATGTGGCTCAGGGAAGCTGAGGCTGCTCCCACCTCTCTGAGGCTGCACCACCACTGGTGGTGTGCCTGGATGCTGTAGTTCTACCCATGCCAAAAGACCCCCATCTTTTGGGGTCCTGTCCCTGCTGGTAGGGGAAGGATGCCTGTCCCTCATCCTTGCACTATGCTGCTGTGTGATCATTTTATTTCCCTCTGCTTTGTCTTTTAAGAAAATGAGGCTTCTACAATCACACTCTATGTGTATGCAGGGGACAGAGATCTCACTGTTTAGGAAAAGTATTACTCAACTGAGATTTTTGGAAGAGGAATAGATTTCTTTGGGCTCATCCTGGAAGGCTATATCCCACCTTATAGCTACATCCTACAGTAAGCAGCCTGACTGGGCACAGTCTTAAACTGTGCCAGGGGAGGTTTAGGTTGGATATTAGGAAGAATTTCTTTACAGAGAGAGTAATCAGCCATTGGAATGGGCTGTCCAGGGAGGTGGTAGATTCACCGTCCCTGGAGGTTTTTAAGATGAGACTGGATGTGGCATCAGTGCCATGGTCTGGGAACCACGGCGGGGTTGGATCAAGGGTTGGACTTGATGATCTCGGGGGTCTTTTCCAACCCAGTTGATTCTATGATTCTATGATTCTATGATTCTATGACAGTTTATACCAAGAGTAGCATGAAAATGTACCCAGTAGGTGTGTAGAGAGCTCCCCA